GTTGGATTTGGGAATTTTTTGCAGAAAATGATTTTTCAAAAAATCGATAATAGGTTCAACGAAGAGCCTAAAATTAGCCTTAAATTATGGTGCACTCAATATTCTTATATTCCTTCTATTTGAGATTTGGTTCTGCTAGCTTAACGGTTAAGCTAGCAAAACCCACTAGGCTAGGATCAGAGCCTTAAATTAGCCTGAAATTATGGCATAGTTAGGTTTGTGATCGGAGTTTTTTTGGTTTGCTATTGGTTTGTCATGTTCATGTTGGATTTGGTAAATTTTTTGAAGAAAATGATTTTCCAAAAAATCGATAATAGGTTCAACGAAGAGCCTAAAATTAGCCTTAAATTATGGTGCACTCAATATTCTTATACTTCTTCTATTTGAGATTTGGTTCTGCTAGCTTAACGGTTAAGCTAGCAAAACCCATGATTTTTTTAAAAAAACAGTGTGCGAAAAAATTTGCAATAAGCTAGGATCAGAGCCTTGAATTAGCCTGAAATTATGACATAATTAGGTTTGCGATTGAAGTTTTTTTGGTTTGCTATTGGTTTGTCATGTTCATGTTGGATTTGGGAATTTTTTGCAGAAAATGATTTTTCAAAAGAATCGATAATAGGTTCAACGAAGAGCCTAAAATTAGCCTTAAATTATGGTGCACTCAATATTCTCATATTCCTTCTATTTGAGATTTGGTTCTGCTAGCTTAACGGTTAAGCTAGCAAAACCCATGATTGTTTTAAAAAACAATGTGCGAAAAAATTGGCAATAGGCTAGGATCAGAGCCTAAAATTGGCCCTAAATTATGGCATGATTAGTTTCGTGATTGAACTTTGTTTGGTTTGCTATTGGTTTGTCATGTTCACATGTTAGCTTAATGGTTAAGCTAGCAAAACCCATGTTTTCTTTTCAATCAGTGTGCGAAAAAATTGGCAATAGGCTAGGATCAGAGCCTTAAATCAGCCTGAAATTATGGCATAATCAGGTTTGTGATTGAAGTTTTTTTTGGTTTGCTACTGGTTTGTCATGTTCATGTTGGATTTGGGAAATTTTTTGCAAAAAATGATTTGCAAAAAAATCGATAATAGGTTCAACGAAGAGCCTAAAATTAGCCTTAAATTATGGTGTACTCAATATTTTTATATTCCTTCTATTTGAAATTTGGTTCTGCTAGCTTAACGGTTAAGCTAGCAAAACCCATGATTTTTTTAAAAAAACAATGTGCGAAAAAATTGGCAATAGGCTAGGATTGGAGCCTAAAATTAGCCTTAAATTATGGCATAATTAGTTTTGTGATCGAACTTTTATTTACGAAGTGGTTCTGCTAGCTTAACGTTAAGCTAGCAGGACCCACGTTTTCTTACATAAATCGAAGAGCAATAAATTCGGCAATAGGGTAATAAATTAGCCTTAAATTAGCCTAAAATTATGGCCGAAGAAAAAATTGAAAAATTCAAAGTGGTTCTGCTAGCTTAATGGAGGTCCATATGTATAGTAGGTGAATTCGAATGAACCGATAAATGGAAATATTACTAGTTTCATTATCTTAACGCTTTATCGATTTCATAGTATGGGCACAGATGCCAGTCATATGATATAAGAAATATACAGTGAGGATGTATATGTTCATCTGTTCCTCTTTCCTCTGAATAACATGAATGAATGAATGATTGATTGATTGAATGAATGAACCTCGGGATGAACGATTTATTTAAAAATTAATATATCAATATTTCCTGATTTCTGAATTATCTTTTTTCCATTATACAGGCATTCAGTCCAATTTCAGCTACTTTTCAAAAATGCACATTTTTGAGAAATACTTAACCCTGAAACGATGGTAGTTATCGATATGCGGTTTTCAATATTGAGTTTGTCATAAAAATGTACCCTTAAGCATCGAAATCACTCCTCATCTATTTAGTTTGAAAGTAGGACTATATCATTAATAAAAAATATACCAAGTGACAAAGTATCTGGAATTTATTATACTAATAATAATAAACGCTTCTACACGTGTTTCGCTAACTATGTTAGCATCTTCAGGAGAAGACTAAACTAGGTATGTTCACTTCACCGTGAAATACCCTAACCGCGAAGTCAATGTCTGTCATGGTTGAGTTCACAAGTTAATCCTATCCTTAATCACTAAATTATACAGAGAGTTATATGGAATATGTCCCTATCATGATGTTTTTAGAAAAGCAAAATATACATAACCAATGACTCCAATCACTGTTTTGAACACAAAATGGCAATTTTAAACTTTCGTTTTCCTAGCACGATTTAAGAATTTTTTTCTTATAATTATATACTACTCAAAATTACCTCCTTTGACGAGCAAAAAAAATTATCAATCATAATTCTTTAGCCTTCTGCGATCACAAAAACTCCATCGAAATTAAAGAAGATGGATGAGGCTTTTTTTTTCAAAAATTTTGATAATGGCAATCGATTCGGAGTAGCCACTGATACTATAACAATTTTCAAAATAATATCTCATAAGGGGTGTTTTTAATAAACGTTACCATTCTTGACTAATTGAATTTTCAAGTCACCGTGTATAATAATTCTTTCAAGAATTTGAATAATACCAGACATGATGGTAGTCAGGATTGGATCATCTGGCTACAGAGTGAGAAATTCAGGCCAAGAAATAGAGAAGAGTTGCGACAAAGAATAAACCAGAAGAATTGAGGAGAGTTGCTAATAACGTGCGAAAGAGTATGAAATAGTTATTCAACCAAATAGTGAATTAATTAGGGCGATGAACGATCGAGATTTTTCAACGTGCGAGCAAAGCGAGTTCGTTAATGTTCGAGATCATTAATGACCTTATTAATATACGAGTTGGTTGCAACAATTTTCTGTCGACTTTTTTTCTCCTGTGATGGAGAAATCTTAGTTCGCGTATTCATCATTCATCCGGAAACTACTAACAATCGCCCAGTAGCACTGAAAGTTACGAGCGTCTCGGACCAGGACCGTTACATGGGTGTCGGCTTCATTCTGTTCTTCCTGGTGGAGGAAGAATAGTATCATTTTGAATGTAGCCGATAGTGATGCATTGTTTCAATGATATTTTCGTTTAGGATCGAGTTCTGTTTGAGAAATTTCAATGTGTAAATAATAAAACTACTACATTCATAACCTGTCAAAATGAAGCCAACTCTACATTCCTACTCCGGGGCACCGTTTAAAAACGAACTTGTCACTGACTTTAGTGACATTTGACATTTATCGAAATAATCAATATGGAAAATAAATTCCTTTTGTTCGGAAACAGGGATTAAAATCATTTCAGAAACGTTTACAGTCTAACCAGTTAACGTAGAATCTGAAATCTATATTTTTGTTTTGAATGTAGATTCCGTAAGTTATAGTGTAAATATTGAATGGAAGCGGTGTATATCTGGTTGCCTATACAACAATCGTGCATTAATAGACAAATTGATCATTCATAGGGGTCATTAATGATTAATTTCATAAACATTAAACATATTCGTTAATAAAATACAAAAAGCCCAAAGTCATTTCCACATAGTACTTATAAAATGAACCAAAATGGTAGATTTTCGTAGAAAAACAACTATTTTCCTGGCTAACGCCATGCAGAACATTGAATTACATCCTCGCGAAATCTATGCATCGACTCGTATAAACGGATACTGAAACAAGTATTTATTTCCTGAATGCCTGTTGATTTCGATTTAGCCAGGTCACGCTAGACACCTACAGAGCAGTCTCCAGCCAGCAGTCCTAAGAAAGCCGACTAAGCGTAGCCTAGCCTAGCCAAACAAAAATCAAGTCGGCAATATATTCCCACAGGAGTGTCCTCCATGGACAATATGAGAGCAAAGCCATCTTAAACCTTCATTTTTCGATTGGCAGTATGTCTGCAGGAACGTAATACGCTTCACTGCAATGTGAGGTAGTTCCATCATTCCTCTTCGTGGATCATCTTTCCTGAACTTGAAGCCAATATTTTTCAACACTTCCCAGAGAGATGTGATGCCTCCATTAAAGAGATAACGTCCAGCAAGTTAATCTCTCAATGTTTCTAATGTAATGTGTTCCTCTATTCGAAATCAAACACATTAGTATTACCTAAAATGATCATTAATTTGCAGTGAAAATACTTACTGTTCTTATACATTAATATACATGTCATAGATACAATTCCTAATTGCGACTTGTTCACCATCATTAAGGTCTAAAAGGGGTGTTTCTCTTTCTCTGTTCTTTTTGGGGCCAGCATTACCATGTTTCTGTTTGGCAGATATTCTCCACTCAGTAGGGATACTTATTTCTAATGCAGCAGCTACTCTCTGTACTTCAGACAAATCATATTTGGATCATTCTGACAACACAAAATATCATTATTAATACCATCATTCAACTTACATCTCTCACAACAGTCAGTGGAAGTAATGGGCCATCATTATCACGTTCACCTTCGAAATATTGTATCAATGATACCATCATCTTCTGCGCCTCCGCACTCAATGGTTTAGGCATTTTGAATAAATCAAATTTCACCAATGATCCACAAATAAATCACAAACAATTCCTTGAAAGTACAAATTGTCAGTAATGCATAATTCGCAGAGATCAGCTGATCACAACAAATCGCTTCTAGAAATGTCAAATAAATCTGGCATCGGTGTACAGTTTCGCCAACTTATATCGATAATGCGGTTCGCCCATTTCGAAAGTTACTAGTACTTTTCGATGTGCAGTTTTGGCATGACATTGTTACCAAGTATTGCGCAACTATCAACCTAGCGTGAAAGCCCTTTATTTTCAGAGATTATTATGAAAAAATTCAACTTTTGACACATAGCAACCCGAATCAATTGGCCATTTTTCATCTTTTTTGAAGCAAAACTTGACTCTCAAGTCGAATTTCAAAATAAATTATCATCAAAAGTTTTTCCCATACGATACCAATTTCATGAATGACACTGTGACTCGAACTCATTCGGCTCGTTGCTCCTCAGGTGCCTTAGACGAATCGGACGAGAGCCCCATCCCGGAGACGTGCGGCCGGTCGGGAGAGCCGCCGCTCAGTCCGAAGCAGCGCCACCAGATGAAGCACCGCGAACTGTTCCTGTCGCGACAGGTGGAGACGCTGCCCGCCACCCACATACGCGGCAAGTGCTCCGTCACGCTGTTCAACGAGACGGAGGCGCTCGGCGCCTACCTCGACAGGGACGACATGTTCTTCTACTGTCTGGTGTTCGATCCGACCCAAAAGACTCTGCTGGCAGACAAAGGTGATTGTTGTAATTCAGTCGTAAATCATTAAAAAGTTTACGCCTGCGGAGTCATTGCCAGAGAATTGATATATTTCATATACCTAAAAATCTGAATTTCTATAAAAGCGTGCATGATATGCGAGATGATGTGCATTAATAAATTAATTCTCACCTGTTTTAAAATAATAATACCTCATTTTGTAATGTCTAAGTGAGGTTATATTTGATATATTCAATGATATGAACACGCTTTTCATCAACAAAGACGAGCCCTCAAACAAGACCGCCACTGGCCCAAATTTCTACATACCTGTGAAATAACACGTTAGGATAATTGTAACTTAACTTTTCTCCACAAATTCGACAATGCTGAACAATATTTATTCACGAAATAATCTGCTTCATATAAATTTATAATATTAAATGAGTTACAGAAACACCGAAAGCTAATGTAATATAAATAAATCTTTTGCTCTTGAAAAATTCCATCCGTGCCTAATAAACAGCGGCGGTAATTCTGAAGATCCGAGTAAATTTAGACCAATATCCCTACTCTCAACACCCGAAAATCATAGAGAAACTGGTTAAAAAGAGAATATCATCTTTTCTGTATTCACATAATATTTTAACCAACTATCAATTCGGCTTTCAGAATGAAAAAGGCACAAACGATGCAATCTTTTCCTTTCTTGAACATGTCTACACACAATGGGAAAGTCGCAGCTGCAGTATTCTGCGACTTCTCCAAAGCTTCTGGTTGTGTCCTTTGCAAAGGATGGACTGATATGGTTTTAGAGGAGTCTGTAATAACTGGTTTAGGTCTTTCATAAGTGATAGGAAACAAGTAGTGAAGAAATCAAATGAAAAACTATCACACACTAAGGAAATTTTATGGAGTGTTCCACAAGGATCAGTTCTGGGCCCAATTATTTTCCTTATATATCTAAACGACCTAGTTACCCTTTAAATTCAAGGAATTTTTACCATCTTTGCAGATGACACAACACTCCTTTGGTATTGAAAAAATACTGATCGTTTGAAAGATACTATTTGGATGTTGTAAAAAGATGGTGTGATGCAAACTACTTGAGCTTTAACATAAAATAAAAACTTACTCACCTTCAACTATAATATGTATCGACAATTTGTACTTGAATGGACATTATATTAGGAACAAAAACCAACCCAAATGCCTGGGAATCTTTATTTATTATAAATTAAAATTTGTGCAGCATATTTCAGCTTTGACAAAAAAATTGGCGTCGTTTCAAATGAACTGAGTTCATCCATAACCAAAATGGTATATCATTCTCTGATTGAGTCGCACTTGAGTGGTGTTGCCTGTTGGGGATTTTGCAGTCAACAACTTTTTCATTCAGTATTTGTTTTGCAAAAGCGAGCGATAAGATACTTATGCAAGGTGGGAGTGCGTGATTCATGTAGACCTTTATTTATCAGAGAAACAATTCTAGCTATCACTTGTATCTTCAGTTCCTTCAACACGACTATTATTCGCTTATGGAATCTCTAAACATGTGTATTATCGAGTTGTACTTTTGAGGTGACGATTTTGAACTTGTTAGTAGTAGTAGTAGTAGTAGTTTATTCTGTGTGATAAAAGAAAAAATTAATATACATTCGTCAAGCAATATACAATAAAATATAGAATACATGTATCAATAAAAAATAAAAGTGAAATATAAAATACAAACATATTTCAAATCACTCACATACACAGGACATAATAATATTCTAAAAGCATACATTGAAATGTTTATAAAATTCCTCGATGTTGTAGAACACATTTTCTCTCAGAAAATTCTTACAATGATTCACAAACTTTTCCAAGTTTAATTCCCTCCATTCTTTTGGTAGACTATTAAAACATTTGAATGACTGGTATTTGTAGGATTTGAAGTTTTTATTGAGTCTAAAAAGTGGCAGTTGATAGGGTCAATGTCTTGTTTCATACCTGTCTTGTCTCTGTAATGATGATTGGTTTTCTTTTGCATATTTTAGAGCTTCCAAAATATATTTATTTGTAGATGTTAAAATACCAAGCTCCTTGAACAAGGCTCTGCAAGGTTCTCTGTAATTTGATTTTGAAATAACACGCACGGCTCGTTTTTGTAATAATAGTATTTGATTTGCGTGTGATGAATTACCCCACAGTAGAATGCCATATGACATTATACTGTGAAAAAGACCACGTGCTCTTTGTCTATTATGCTAGTTAAATTCTTCGACCAATTGATTTTGCCCATCCGCAGGTGAGATCCGAGTGGGCAGCCGATACCAGTGCGACGTGCTGCCCGCGCTGCGCGACCCCGAGCGCGACGACCCGCGGGCCGCCCCCCACTCCGATCCCGAGACGGTCACGTGGACGCCCCGACACTCGCTCACCGACCGACAGATCGACCAGTTCCTCGTCGTCTCGCGCTCGGTGGGTACGTTCGCGCGTGCCCTTGACTGCAGCTCGAGCGTGAAGCAGCCGTCGCTGCACATGTCGGCGGCCGCGGCCAGTCGTGACGTCACGCTGTTCCACGCCATGGACACGCTGCACCGGCACGGCTACGACCTGTCGGCGGCGCTGTGCTCGCTGGTGCCGTCGAGCGGGCCGGTGCTGTGTCGGGACGAGATGGAGGAGTGGAGCGCCTCGGAGGCGAATTTGTTCGAGGAGGCGTTGGATAAGTACGGGAAGGTGAGGCCGGATTCTGTAGATTTCACAGTAGATATCGCAATGGCATCAAAAATTACACTCCTGGCCGTTTTTTGTGCACTTCTCTGTATACTTCTTCTTGAATTGAAAGTTTATGTATTGTAGGATTTTAACGATATTCGTCAAGATTTCCTTCCTTGGAAAACGCTGAAAAACATTATAGAGTACTATTACATGTGGAAAACCACTGACAGATACGTCCAACAAAAGAGGGTGAAAGCCGTCGAAGCCGAATCTAAACTGAAACAAGTCTACATTCCCAACTAGTGAGTTCGTATTACATATTGAAATTCATGTATCTGAAGAACTAAATCGTTATCTATTTTAGCAATAAGCCAAATCCTGCAGCACTAAATAACAACAAGGGGGTGATAAATGGTAGTAGTAATGGCAGTTCAGATCCGGCAGTGTCATTAGGTGGAAAAGCTTGTGAATCCTGTAATGGTAAATATTGAATTTGTGTAAAAATTCTTTTAATCTCAGTCAATATTCTCCATGGAAATATGATGAGAGTTTTTTCAGAACCTATTCTAATAATGATTCAAAGGCTATAAATATAAATTAGCTCTTTGCAACTTGACATTGAAATGAACAATTTTGTAATTTTGTGTAAGTGTGAGTGATATTTCAATGCAACATTCAAAATGTATCCAGATGGATCATTTGCCTGATTTTTGTACCAAAAAAGGTTGAGGCTCAATTTGTCCAGTATGTTTTTATAATTTCTGATATTTTCTGGAAGTTGTGAAAAACATCATCCTCCGAATCCGAGTTATGAGCATCCACAGACCAACCTGAAAATAAATTACTAGTTTTTCTAAAAATCTGAAAATTTTTCAACCACTTTTCAACCTACCCATGGAAGACAATTTCCGTTTGTCTCGCTTGTTCTTGCATTCAAAGGCATCACAATAAATAACCATGGTTTATTAATTCGAAATCACAAACCTTTTCAACAATAATCAATTCACACCAACAAATTCAGTCCTTTTGATAAAACAAAACACACCAAATGAAGGGATGTTTCAAATAACAAGAAACAATGAAGTTATGACTTCACTTTATCGCCTGTTTAGATGAAAAATCAGCTCTCAAGTACTAATTATTGGATAAATAAAAATGCATACACCAATCCGCCATAAAACAACACGAGTGTGAAAGAGACAGGTTACTGTAACACAAGCTGCCACGACACACTGTGCTATTCGAGAAAACGGCAGTATCCCTTCCAGGTGTTCACAATGAGTTCATTGACTTTGATTGGTCAATTTGATAGCATTATTATAAAACAGGAATTCTAGATATTGCATTTGGTATGTTTATTGAGAACACAATGATATCTTCCACAAATATTTTTTTTCAATATTCAAAATAATCACCTATATATGTATATATATATATATCTAGGTCGTACCGTATTTAATTGCAATGGATTAATCGCGGTATATGACGTCACACGCCGTCCCGCGTTTTTCATGTATATGAAATATTGTGAATTTCAATAATTATTTTAAAAAAGTGCATAGCTCTCAGGAGAAAACGGTTTGTGACAGTGAACAACTTTGGTCAAGAATACACATTTTCTTCAATTTCGAATTGGGCGCCATAGTCTAATTTGTGAGTGTGATCAACTTTCTTCCGTAGGCAGAGATAAAAGCTCTTTATCGAATAATTATGCGATCGCAAGACGAATTCACGACCCTGAAATGATACAGCCTATAATTCCTCTTTCAGTTACAGTATCGAACCAATGGTATGCATGGGGTCCTTCCCATATGCAATGCCGCCTCTGCCAAGTTTGTTGGCACTATTGGAAAAAATATGGTGGACTGAAAATTCCCACGCGATTCGGGGATGGGGATTTCGAAAACGGTAACAAAAAGAAATCGAGCAGTGACGCAGAAGAAGAACGAATCCCAGGCATGTCCCACAGACCCCATCGATGTAACATCGGAGGGTGTGGTAAAGAGTTCAAGCTGAAAGCCCACCTAGGAAGGTATGCATGTTTTTCCATACCCTCAATCTTGAATTTTTTCTATTCTACCAAACTTACCTTTGTTATAGGTCGCCTGCACATTTGACAGATGACCGACCCTCACAATTATTTCGGCATACGAATCCTGTTTCTTGTTTATTCAAGCAAGCCATCACATTGTGCTGTTGTACAGTTGTATTCAATAAATCAGCGTACAAGTTTTAAAAAGAGAGGTTAACGCCATCCTGCCTCTAGTTGTATGTGCAAGATCTGTCAGATGACCGATCCTGGAGGTTAGACATTGAAACAAAACCTCACTTTTCTTATTTGTTTACAAAGGATTGAAAATTGAAATAGTTTTTCACAATTATTTTGACGTACTAATCGTGTTTTTCAGCTGATCATTGATTCAAGCATGCCATCACATTATGCTGTTGTACAATGCACAAAAAATGCAGCGAGAGATAAAGGATCATCTAATATTATAGTCACTCACATATAGTTTTCATTTTGAAATTTTGTCATTCCTCATTGGAATTCCTCCTGCAATAGGAGATAATAGAAATAATCGAAAAGTTTCTAAAATAAGGCAGTTGATTGGATTCATGCTTTCAAACGGGAGGACTGATCTGACATGCTGACGAAATATGATCGTGTGCGTGTTGTAGAGATTTTCACTCTATTAGCAGTATCAGCTTCTATTGCAGAAGTGACAGAAGGAATTCTAATGAGAAATGACAAAATTTCATAATGAAAACTATGTGAGGTAACTATATTTACCTAAAAAATCATATTCCTTCGTCTCTCGCTGCATATTTTGTGCATTGTACAACAGCACAATGTGATGGCATGTGATGGCATTACCCAAAAAACACTATTCATAAGCCAAAATATCGTGAAGAACTATTTCAATCCTTTGATCCCTCAGAAAAGTGAGGTTGTGTTTCAATGTTTTCCAGAAAAGTGAGGTTGTGTTTCAATGTTTTACCTCCAGGGTCGGTCATCGTGCACGCGACCTATGCTTTGTATTTTTGACAACTTTTTTTTGGTAATCAATCATCCCCGATACCCCGTTTTTCGCAAATAGGATGTCTCTCTCTATACTTGTATGCTTTTTTCAATATAACTATACAATACACAAAAAATTTACCTAGAGGCGGAAGAATATGATTTTTCTGGTACATTGTATTCTAAAAGTACTGTTATCACTCACATCATTTTCATTTTGAGATTTTGTCATTTCTCTTAAGTTTTCCTTCTGCAATAGGAGCTAATAGAAAGATTTGTGAAGTTTCTAAAAGAAGGCAAAAAGCTTGGATTTGTGCAATCAAAAGGGAGAACTGGTCTGACATGCTGATGAAATAATATGGTCGTGTGTTTCCTATTGCAGAAGGAATTCTGAAGAGAAATTACAACATTTCAAAATGAACACTATGGGAGTGACTACAGTACTTATAGATCACAATTCACCAGAAAAATCGTATTCCTTCGTCTCACGCTGTATTTTTTATGCATTGTACAACAGCACAATGTGAGAAATACTTGAATAAATAAATAGCCCCAAAAAACACGATTTGTATGCCAAAATAATTGTGAAAAACTATCAAGTCTTCGTGACATTTGTACAAAATTGTAATTTACATAACAAGTTTTCGGGCGTATTACGTACACTATTCTTGCGGCAACCGGCAAATCAATGAGACATTTCTTTACATTTGTAAAACAAAATCTCGAACATTTCAATTCTAATTTGTATTAAATGTCGAAAGGCAATAATTGTGCTGTAGTAGCATCTGCTGTCTTGGAAATTTTGAAAGGCACAATACAATGCGTTTATTTTCCATTGGACATTTTTACATGTATAGGAATCGTCAGATTGAAGGCCTAAAACTAGACAGAGTTTTCGATATTACAGAGACAGAAACAAAAAGACTAGGGTACCGAAAAATATTCTTCTTAAGTATAGGAATTCATTTCCAGTAGGAATTTCTTCAAGTTCGTTTTGAAATGACTGAGTTTTTTGAAGTTTTTCAATCGACTGGGAAGTTTATTGAAAACTTTGAGTCCAAAGTAATTGGGAGAGTTACGTGTAATCTCATATTTACACATTGGAATGTGATAATTGTCACATTGTCTTGTACTTATTCCTATCAGTAATGCATTTTTCTTTGTTCAAAAATACATAAACACATAATTCAAATACAAAAACACCAATGGCAGTTGAAATGTTGAGGCTATTAAATATATTTCTGCAAGATTGTCGACTAGGGCTGTGTCAAGTCTGTGGTTTGACCGGGCACATACTTTCAGTATGAAGTCTGACCATCGGTTTGACCAACCAGCTGTTTGGCAATACCGGTCACGTTTCAAACCTGCCCACAAAGTTACCACGTTAACTTTGGATGGGAGCCGAGTCAACCATTGGCCATCCTGGTATTACCACTGTGGTCAAACGAATGACTTGACACAGCCTAGGTATGCACTGTTTCAAACTCACTATTGCTGCTGCTTCCCATAGTTTATTGCGATAATTGCAACCAAAAACCATGCAAGCTTTCAAAAATCAAAATGTCAAATAGCTGTATGTCGTTATTTGGCATGCTGCTATAGTAATGATTGACTGCATCATCAAAACCATACATAACAAGATTTCCATATTTACAATGACAACGACTTTATTCTTCCCGGCCTAGTCCGGTAAGTTCGTACTTCCGGGACTCCGGCAGGAAAAATGCTACTTCCTCGAAGTAAAAACGTCCGGGAAATGTTCGAAAGCCGAAATTAATGGTTTGTTCATATTTGTTGCTATATACCACCCTGTATTTCTTTCAGGCACTACGCGACGGCGCACGGAATAATGGTGCGGTCCGGCTCTCCGAGGCCTATTATGAAAACTCGGACGGCGTTTTATTTGAACACGACGCCCATCACCAGGATTTCGAGGAGGCTGTGCCGGCACATAATGAGGCCGAGGCACGCCGCTAGAGCACCCTTCTTCGCCATAAACATACAGGCTGTCAAGCAGGAGTGCGGGATACAGATGGTGAGAAAGCGAATTGATTAACATTTGAAAAGAAATACTTTATTCCAAGAAGATTACGTGATTCTTATGATTAGGAAAGAAAGCAAAAAAAAACAAATACGGATCGGTTTTTGATCTCTTGATAATAATAATATTATTCATTTCTTTCTTTGCTACAAACATTACATTGCATCTCATATAAATATAAATATATTTTATATAGATTTACAATGAAATAACATGAATAATCAGACAGATCAATATCTGGTATGAGATTATTCATGCGTTATTAAAAAAAATAATGGTAATAAAACAAAAAGCTAATGAAATAGTATATTACACACCGAGGCGGGAAGTGATTCATTCCTGTCGTGAGATTAGTTAGTTAACCGAGACGCAAGGCATCGAGGTTAGCTATAATTTCGAGACAGGAATGAAACTTTCTACCGAGGTTTGTATACTATTTAATTTACAACCATCGTATTTCGATCAAAAATTAATGAATCTATGTTTCATTCTGAACATACCTGAATTATTACATGAGGGCATTTAGAGGGCGGGAAGTAGTGAGGGGCGGAAAGTGTGGGCGGGAAGTAGAGGTGTGTAATGTGACACTTCCCAACCTTCAATGCGCGAAGTACCTACTTCGCTTTAGATTTATGTTTTTTGGCGTTTGTAGAAAAAATGTTGTTTGTAACTCAAGCGCGAAATACTTTGGTCATCTCGACTATTATTTTAACTCGGCTACGCCCGTTACCACCGATAAAACAAGGCCAGCAGACTCTGACGTAAACAGCTCGTGACGTCGCCAAGTGAGGCCAGTGTTTTATTTTATCGCTTGTCGACTAACGCGTCAGTTCGTGTTGATTCATCGGTGATTCACGTATGTTTTTGAAACGGTCCCGAATTCTTTTGTTGTTTATTCATCAAAATAATTGGCGGAAAAATTACTGTTCTGTGAAATATTTTGTGTTGTGATCGGCAAAATAACAATGCCTTTCAAGTGTTGGGTTCCCTTTTGTCGGGGGAATTATGTGGGTGGTTCAAAAGTTCATGCTTTTAGTTTCCCGTTGGACGAGGAGCTATCGAAAATGTGGGTAAGTATATGCAATTCACCGCGAGGATTTTACTACATCTAAGTATCTAAGTTCAGTAGTAAACAAAGCTTAATTTATAATGATGAATTAATAATAGAAGACAATTACTCTCTCATAAAAAGTATAAGTAGAGGAAAAATAGAAAAGCTTTGATTGTGCAGTTAGTTTTGTATTCGTATATTATAGTCAACAAAATCATCTTTGAATTCGAGGAAATTTTCTTGAATGTTCATAATAAACGGGCATTTTTAATTCTCATTCTCAAATTTCTTTCTGAAAACGGTCATTTGCCTCATGGCAATGAATGCAGAATTCATTCCAATGATCAAATTGCAACTATCATATTAACATGAACTACAAACACTCTACTCAAAAAAGGTAAAACTGCATTTATCATGATATTTATCATGAAGATATTTGACTGAAAAGTTCCAAATTTCACCTTCTTTTTCACCTGTCTTCTGGATGGCATTTAGAACAAATTTCCCTTCTTTTTCCATCATATTGGACAATTCATATATAATTCAACTATAAATATGATTTTCTTGAGATTAATCCATATTTAGTGAAAAGAAGGAAGAATATCATTCAAAATAATGGCGTGTGTAATGTCATTCGAAAGCAATCTATTGACATTTGACATCTCGTATTTTGATTGACTATTGATTAAATGGTCGTCATCTGGAATGCTTGGTCACATCATGAGTATATAAAGTGTCCAATGACAAAATAAGAGCAAGTAGCTTCAAATGCCCCCAACACAAGGGGAGAAAGAAGGCGAAATTTCAAACTTTTTCTTGAAATATCTCAATAAATAGTGGTTTGTTCACATTTTCATTATAAAATTCGGTTTATCAGACAAAAATACGTGAGTACCGAAAAAAATTTTCAATAAAAAAAACCATCGCATGATAAATGCAGTTTTACCCTTTAAAATTACGGTTTCAAGTGTAACGATCCACTTGGGTGAAAAATCCAACAGCAGAAAATTGAAAACACTCACTGGTTAATTTTTCAGGTAATAGGAATTCTCCAAGATAAATATAGGTAATTGTAACAAACGGCATGTCAATCAAAATAAAATACATTTTCCACAATTTACTTTCGATCAATCTCACGATAAGTTTATGTTCTGCGGGCCCTGTATAATTAGGTGTGAAGTTTACCTTCACCACAATTTGTGCCAATATATTTAATTCGAATGGGTTGCTGTAGGTGGATATTTGTGTTTTATCCTGGTTTTTGCTTTAAAACTTTCTTTCCATAATAAAATCGAATGGGGTGCGAAGGAGGGCTCAGTTGACGACTGGCATCCTTTTTTAACCGGAAGCCCTTCAAAAAACAGCAAAATCGGCTCAATGATGATCTAAAACTAAAATCGAAATACGCGGTCGCCTTATAGCGCTATAAGCGCTTGTCGTTTCGAGCTGCTGGTTAGGCCTCACTAAGTGACCCACGGAGCATGCAGGCCTTGTTGTATCGGTGGTAACGCTACTCCTCGTTAAAAAAGTCAGATCTCGATCACCAAAGTAGCATTTCGCGCTCTAGATACAAAAATAACCATTTTTTTTTCATTCTTAATCAACTAGGTACCTATGAGTTTTCTTATTTTCCCTCAAGGATCAGTATTTTTTGGTAACAAATGCTTAGGAAATGGAAATATACTGGGTACAGCAACTGGTTTCAATAACCTAGCAGTACCTGGTATGTCTGAATAAATAATCAGTTGGCAGGAAATGCTCTCCACAAAGCTTGCTGGTTTTAGATGGAGCCCAACTCTCTCTACGATTTGCCTTAATCCATAATTCAAGAATGTCTGAATGGAAAACTGCAACAAATAATATTACTTAATATGTTTATGGAAAAGTCATGGAAGTATTTAACTTTGACAAATAATATAGGTATAGCTTTTTAACATATTCTGAGATTGGGAACATTGTACACCTAACTGATGATCATTTCAAGAACAATAATTTCCAAAAATCTGAACAATATTCAACTTACCCAACCATTGAATGACAATTTCCTTTTGTCTTGTTCGTTCTTGCATCCAAAGGCGACTCAATAAATCACCATTGTTTATCAAAACCTTCTCAACAATCAGTTTACAGTGTTCAGACCAACAAATTCAGTCCTTTTTATAAAACAAAACACGCCAAATGAATAGATATTTCACATAAACAAAGACAATGAACTTTCTTGCTTGTTTAGATGAGAGAAAAAAAATCTAAAGTACTTTAATTATTAGATAAAAGAAAACGTAAACACCAATCCACCATTAAACAACATGAGTAGGAAAGAGACAGGTTACCGTAAATCATGCTATCTTTGTTGCAGCTGCCCCTGACACACTTTGTGCTATTCGAGAGAACGGCCGTCTCCCTTCCAGTTGTTTATATTGAGTTCATTGCCCACGACACAGTCGATCAATTGAATTCCAATGATTAACTATCAGTCGAGTAGCCTACTAGCGGACTCGCTCGCTTGTCCAAAAACGCACAAACAAGCCACACTGCCACATTTCTCCCCCATGTAAATCAACCTACAATTTCAGATTGGCAAAACGCTGACGGACCTGAAACAACTCCTCCTCTACAAAAAACGGAACCGGGGCAGCGTGACCGCCATAGCCACTCGGCTGGGCCGCCCCGGCTCCGTGACGCCGCAATGGCTCGTGCTGACCGCCAAAGACATGTTACCGCTGCCCGACAAGGAGGCGTTCCCCAAGCCGCCCAAGGCGCCCGACGGCAGTCTGATGTACGAGAAGATACCCAACAAGCCGGAGGCCGACAAGATCCCGCTGAACAATGTGTCGCCGTCGCTGAAACGGAGGGCCTACGAGGAGATGAACGGGATGGACAGTAAGTGGATCGGTTTGCGAGCTCGGAATCTGGACAGTTTTGATTTTGGTCAAGGTTGCAAGCTATATATTTTTTAAATGAATGAAATTGTGTTCTTCTCTTGGATGATAATCGACTCGATACGTTAACTGCTGAGCCTAAATTAGTAGCAATAATTCCAACTATCATATCTTTCCAGCTACAGTCTGTATAATATTTCTTTGCGCGTACGTCACAACTTCAAAAAACAAATCAATTCAAGGTCATATGGTCCAGTTAAGCAGTGCTGTGCTGTTTCAGAAATTGGGTTAAAATAAATAATATTCAAAAAAAATTATTCACTATTCCAGGTAATTTTGACTAAGAAACATTCAATAAAACATAGGATTGGTTTATATTTCAAGTTTTAACTCTTTTAAGTCGTCAATTATATGAAAGTTAAAAACATCAGAACTTTGGTATGTATATACGTATGGGTTGGTATATGATATACATACTTTTTGTACTTTGATCTTGCCATGATCTCTTCTTATTCCCTTACGCAAATATCCAAGTTTCATCCAAGACAAGATGAAGATTTGTCTAGGGTAACTAGAATTGCGATTTTCATAAAACTTTCTGAAAAACTCTGCTCTCATTATAGATATGTCCGTCTTCTCAACCAATAACCGTCTGTTGTCTTCTTTTTTATAATTGAATCCTACATTTGTGAGAAGTTGCCTCAATGTGCCTATACTTGTGTCAAGAATATGTTTAGTTCTGAGTTCTTCTTTCGAAATTCTAAGAGTGATGTGTTTTTCTGTAAAATTGTCAGTTGAAGGTAGTCAAGAAGTATCAAATGGAATCACTTACTTTCTGCATACATAGTATAGATCACATTGCGTACTTCCATTTTCAGATTATCATTCAGATCTACTGTCTTGGGTTTTTTTTAGTCCTAGATTTCCCTGGCGTACTCAAACTTTCGTTTCTCTCAGAACGTACTTTAATAATACTCGAAACTGTCCGCAGACTAATATTGAGGGCATCAGCGACACGCTACAATTATGTACATCATGATGATATTCTTGAAATGAGGTCTGACTATTTTTATTATTGATCAGGAAGAATTATGATTTACCTGCTGTATGGAAGTAAACGAGATTAAAGGATCATTATTATCTTTCTCTCTTGTGAAATATTGTAACAAATTCAATACAAGACTTCGAATTCAAACGTCTTCCTGGCATGTTGAATATTTGACAATGGCCAAAACGATGTCATTTCAGCATCTACTGCACGCCTCTGAATTAGCCGATCCAAATGTGTCTCGACATACGCCGAACACCTCTGTATTCAAGCTTTTAACCCGTTGAGTTTAAAACGATGTCGTAACTTATGTCAACAAACGTCATGATAGACATTGCTGCTCTATATACAAGTCTGAAGAGGATAGCAAGTTGCGCTTAGGTCTATGCTAATTTCAGTCACAAAGAAATATTATACAGACTGTATGACAGTCAACTCTGTACTCTTTCTACCGACCTAACTTCATATCAGTGATCCTTCCTTGTCTAAGAACAATCATTTATGTGTTGTGCAAAACTAATATGATTTTGGTATCATAACCTTTTTTATCTACTGACTGAAACGAAAATAAGCGTTTGGACTCTCATTTGAGGTAACAAAGTTATCAATTTACTTCCACTAGAGGAAAAAAATATTAACTACCGTGGAAACTTCAGCATGCATCCTTTGGCGTCGATATACCTATGAAATCTGTGCAATCCAAGTTATCAGTGTCTTTATCACTATTATAAAACAAATAAAAGTCTCCATTTGGAGTTCCAAGCAAATGCATCTCGTTAATGTCTGACTGAATTACTATTGGTATCGCAAGTACTCATTACCCTTGATAATTAGAAAACTTCAGGTAAATCAGAAGTCAACTCATAAACACATGTATTTTATAAAAAACATTTTTACAATGGAAAATCTCATTTCAAATCTAAAATTATATCAAGAAAATAGAACCAATGAAATCACCTAAATAAACCATTCTGACCTCAAGGATATATTTACCATGGGCAAGGTAATACTAGGAGAGAATATACAAAAAACTGAAATAAAGTATATAAAAGTAAAGTATACAAACAGAATTAAGAACGCTTTTTGCAGTCTGGAGCAACTGTTTATAGGTTATGTTTCTATGTCAGCCAGTGATCAATTGTTAGATTCATGTAACCACCGATCACGATTTATATATATATTTTTTTACCATAGCTTTTTTGTACACCCAAAACATCATTCTTGGAGTGTAAATTTTCTGGTATTAATTGGTCATATTCAATCGACGACAACTAGAAGTCAATTTGGCCCATACGGCAGCTAACGTGTTCAATGAACAAAGTTTAAAGTTTAGTTTTGTTGTGCTGGGTGTCCGTTCAAGAATGGATAGCGGCGATATCTTGCATGAACTTCACTAATAGAAACAGCAGCAAATCATTTTTCCACAGCTTGTGTCTGTGTACAGAAAAGTTACGGAAATGAAGATTGACAGTTCTATGCATGAGTATATTTGATTTATTTCATAAAATAAATTTGATGCAGTTTTCTCATAAGTCTGCATGAGCTATTACCTTTCGGAATTTGGTTGAATCAGTCATATTTATTATCATCCCAGACCAGACATTCTTTTGCATTGTCCCCTGTTAATTTAGGAGGTACATTCTCATTTGAAATTTTACTTATGACACTTGTCTCAGTAAGTTTTGATAATTGTAAATGGAAGTCATGCAAGTTAAGCTTGTTGTCTTATTGAAAAGTTTCCATTTTTTTATAGCCAATTCGTATTTTAGGATTATATTAATGAGTTATATTTTCCATTCATTTATTGAGAAGGTAATTTGATGGTTTCTCTGTCATTTTGTATTATCTAATTCATCATTTATTTATTGGCTTCTATTCTGACTTGGATTGGGACGATGGTAAGTTGAATGTCAATTAGGATACATATAAAGATATACAATATACCTATTGGATATGAAAAACAAATAAAGAGCTTCATAATTATGTCTGCAGTTGAACACATTTTTTGTTTGACATGAAGGTAAACATATTTGGTTAATAACAACTTTTCTCATTTGTTTTTCATATTAAAATTTTCAAATTGACCTAGGAACTCACAATTTCCCAATTCATTATGATGATAATACAACATGTGGATGCAAATATTATCAAATCTTGCAAGTAAATAGTTTTGAAATATTGTGGAGGTATGCAAGTGGATTGTTCAACTCTAACATAACTTAGGTATATGCAAAAAACTTCACAAACGATATGAATTCCACAAAATTATTTAAAAGCTCAAACACATCTGGAATGCCATTTTGACATTAGTAGAAAATCTGTTGCATACCGCACCCGAGTAAATTTCCTATTTTTCATTGGTCGAAATTACCTTCTTGCATACTCATAATAAGTATATAAGTATAATAGATTGTCCCCAAAAGTGAACAACAAAATAGTATTAGAACAACATGGATTCATAAACAAACGATCAACCATCACTAACTTGATGTGTTTCACACAAATGGTCTGCGATGCTATCGACGCTCAATCTCAAGTTGACACGATATATACAGATTTCTCAAAGGCCTTCGACAAGATGGATCACACAATACTAATTTTAAAGCTGAGAAACTTGGGATTTAATGAGGATTTGTTGAACTTTTTCAGCTCGTATCTCACAGGTCGCTCATTATATGTTGAATACAGAAGTCACAAGTCGCAATCATTTATAGCCAGTAGTGGAGCACCACAGGGGAGTAATTTAGCTCCATTGCTGTTTTCTCTGTATATAAACGATATTACGCAAAATATTTCAAGTAGGATTCTTCTCTTTGCTGATGATCTGAAGTTATTTCGTCCCATTAATTCGATAAATGACTGTCAAACACTTCAAAATGACATTGACAAGGTAGCCACTTGGTGCACTGCGAATAACTTACCACTCAACATCAAAAAGTGTCACTCAGCGACCTACACATCTAAAATAAACCTGATAGAATTTGTGTACAACATCGACGGTAAAAACCTTGAAAAACATGATCTAACTAAAGATCTCGGTATTTATTTTGATTCTAAACTGCAGTTCCTATCACATATCACCAAAGCCATATCATCAGCAAAAAGAATGCTAGGTATGATATTCAGAAATTGTAAAGATTTTGAGAGTCAAGACAGTTTTATAAATCTATTCAACACTTATGTGCGATCTCGCTTAGAGTATGGCTCACTGATTTGGTCCCCTATTTATTCAACTTACAAGCAAAGCCTTGAATCAGTACAAAGACTATTCATGAAATATATGATATACAAAATCGATGGGTTATATCCAGAACAGGGTGTTGATAACTCTATATTACTGAACCGATTTTCACTTATCTCGTTGGAAGACCGAAGAAATTATTACTCGTGTCTATTTATTTATAAGCTCACTCATTATTTTGTTGATTGTCCAGATCTTTTGTCTCAGCTCAATTTTCTTGTACCTCGTATGAACAACAGAAACGAATTATGTTTTTATCTAACAACGCCAAGAACAAATATCCTAGCAAAATCCCCTATTCATATGATGTGTAAGAATCTTAATGATGTCTGCGACAAAATCGATCTCTATTCAACTAAAATTGGCTGTTTTAAAAGTAACTTAAGAAACCTCTACCACTAACTAAATACTAAAATACTCAAGGTAATAATAATTGATGTATTATCCTATATCTATTTACTTATATCTATTTACTTATATCTATCATGAACTGTGTTTATTCTATATTTGCATGTCCTGTAATTGGGTGCCTCACCTGTTTGGACAATAAACGGTTTTTTTTTTTTTTTTTTTTTTTTTTATAAGTACTCACATTACTCAATCGATACATAAGTACTAAATATTTCCACATTTTAAATTGCAGGCGTATCTTTGAGCGTGCCACCTACCAAAAGAATAACGAAAGAACCAGTACAAGTAACGCGACCGGAACAATTCCAAGCCATGATAACTGCCCAACTCGCCCCTGGTCAACCCCTGCCCCGTCACATTGCACAAATCAACGGAAAACCAAAAATTGCTCACATGACCAGGACAGGTTCGGGAAGGAAACAAGTGATAAGTTGGATGGATGCTCCAGATGATGTGTATTTTAGGGCTACAGAAGCAAACAAGTAAGTAATGTTTTCAAAGCTCGAATTCACCCTCAACTCACCATATATTTTGTGAGAAGCGATCGCAAAAAGGGATGCCAAAGTTTCAGGAGGAAAAACAAAACTGGTGTATAAAAAATATTCAAAGTGATGTTGGTGAAACATTTTTCATTTATAAGACTTAAGATGCTATGAATTTTGAACCTAACCTGACTATTCATCCCTATGAGATTGAACCACTCAAGGATCGTTAACTCAACAGGATTTATCGATTATATAACAAATATATAATACAGATTTGACGACATGCCGTTCACAAAACACTGACTCACTGGTGCATGTATACAAGTCAATGATTGACAATGATAGATTGACAATGATAGATTGACAGATATCTCGGGTTTCATATCATTGGATGTTCGACTTGGAACTGATTCAATATTCTCCATCAGATTAAACTTCAGAGTCGAATTTTTCTTAATTATTATGGAATCATGGTTGAACCTTCAACAAAATAGTTGAAATCAAAAACAATTTTTATAGAGATGTGTGAGCACAGTGTTAGTGAAATATATACTGTTTTTCATCTGGTTGAGTATTTCAGTTTCAGATTTATTTATCGACTGAATATAGGAAATGAAATTCTAACAACAATTCTTACAGGCAAATACCCTCTTTTGGCAAAGGAAATTGGTGCAAAACTATGTATCCAACACTCTAAACTGGTTTCATTGCAGTAAAAAAAATAGAATAAAAAGTTGAATTAAATAATCTGTTGAAAACGGCATTCATTTAAATAAAATAAAAACATATTTCCTGAAGATTCAATGTATAATTTGAGGTTACGAATTCTTGAGAAAATTAAAATAGTCAATTGACGTGACGTCATGTCGTTCACCCTTTTGATTGAATTCTGCCGGATGGACCATCCTGTTGAAATTCTTGAGAACTGCTGTCGATTTAAATAGGAAACCTAGTAGGCGAGTATAATAATGAAATATCTAATAATACATGGTGCCCGTTTCTTGAGCTCCACCATGGGGATCTCAGTTATTATAAGAGATACAAGTTCGGTTAAATTCGGACAAAGGTGCGCATTTTCATGCTGAACATTGATCTGCAAGAAAATCCAATGTGTCATTTTCAGTTATTGAATTATTTGAAGAAAACGAAAATTTGTAATTTTTGTTTTTATGTTTTCAAGCTAAAACCAAAATACCTAGACGTTTCTGACTAGGACATTACTTTGGCACTTTTTCAAAAGGAATCTGAATCTATCATTGTATTTTCCATGACGTTTTTGATGCCAAAGTTACAATACTCAACTTTGTTTTTTTTTTCATGGGCGCCATATTTATTCTTTAATTTTTTGACATGTCTGCTTTTTGGTTTTCAAAACTACATAACACTTATACAATATCTTGGGTTTTAGCCCTGTAATTAGATAATCTTCAGTTTGTTGGTATTTTCCTCAGTAATGTGCCTTGTAAATATGTGACTTCATTTTCCATATCACAAATTAATGTTCGGAACAGTGTTTCGTCACACACTAGTATCAATTTCACCAACATTCATTGTTTACCAATATTCAGCACTATTTATTGACTAAAAGTTGTGAACCTAATTAGTAGCTTTGGAGAAAAAAGCAAGTGCAGAATGTTTTTTGGATAATGTCTCTCAGGAAGGGTGAGAATCTTGATAATTGAATCGAAACCCGGAGAGATCAACATTCCTGAGGAATGAAATTGTATAAGTTTGAGTTATAAAAAGCAACATGTTTTATATGATTTCGAACAATAAAAAAAAAGATAAATAATTAAAATTCCATAGGTCGCGTGCACGATGACCGACCCTGGGGACCAGTGACGGCTCGTCAGGGACGGCAGGGTCGGCCGGGCCGTACCAAATAATTTGGGGAAAATTACTGAACTATTTGATGAATAAAATTATTTTCCGAAACTGTTTTCATAATTCATCGCTCATTATCCTACTGTTATGCCACTATTATTTGAATTTCATTCATGGAACCTTTGAGTATGCCATCCGCATATACACCGAAAATCACGAACTAATTCAGGACCTACGACATCTGGTAATCCCATCGTCAAAACGCCGCTTTCAGTTGAACCGCTCGCGTAGCTCATTACACTGATGCAGACGGCCGGCCGATCGGTGATTTCTTGTCTCGACGCATCGCCACATGCATCGCCTACAGATTCCCCGCTTCAAGTTTAAATTTTCGCTTATACGCGTCATACCTTGGGTGCGGCCAAGCTCTGCTGGCCGTCCAACGTATCGATCGTACTTATCAGTATCAGTTGTTTGCAGTGCGCTCGCTGTGCACCGTATCGAACCATTCCGACCTAATTTTTAATATACGAATTGGCATGATTGACATTCTATTTTCACTTTACATTGTAGGTATTTATAATTTTAATTCCTATACTTATTTGTAAGTTGATGTTGGAATTTGAAATGTACAAACTGAAAAGAAAAATAATTTCCATGTTTTTGTTTACGCTTGCAGTAGTTGCAGTAAAAATGACTGGTGATTTTTGAATTTGCAATTTTTCAGTAATTCATAATTCAACATATCCATCTAATATTGGTATCAGAATTTTCCTTCAGTGCTTCTGAGCGTCAATAAGTTATAATTCAATTTGAATATTGCTGTAATGTAACCTACTGTGCCTCTGCCTATGTAGGTAATATGGCAAGAAAAATGTCAGCAGCCCAAGAGCTGAGTAGGTATTGAAACATCGTAAAAAAGCTCTGGTGACGAAAATGTAATAAATGTATAACTTCCAGAATATCATTTATTTTCAAAGACGCATGTAGCGGTTATAAACTACCTAAATAATATTTATGCATCCATCGCATCGCGGGAAACATTATACCTACGGCTGCACCCTGCACGCGGGCTCGGCCAGCCGACTACGAAGGAGTGGGGTCAGTGGGGTGGCTTGTTACAGGAACGGCGTAGACCGATTAGTCATTGTTGTGCTACTCGCGTTAGGTGAGTGGTTGTCGGTTATGTTGATTTTTTTGAGTTTACATTACGTTTTCAACAGAATATAAATATTTTTTGTTCACGAGTTATTTTATTTTCTTTCATTTTATTTTTTCGACTTTCTTGTTATTATTTTTTCATACCAACTAACCTCAGATGAAGAAAGGGACAGCTGAGCAACTAACCCTTATCCACCTCCTTTTTCTTTCCCCATTTCCCCTGGCGAGAATGCTCTAAAACCTCGTGGTTCTTGCTGGACAATTTATTTTGTTGGTTATGTGTACAGGGTGATTCACCATAAATGTCCCTCCCTCTAGCTCAATTATTTTTAAACCGATTTCAAAATTTGAAATATCTTGAATGATTTTTGATTGAGTTTTTTTCCGCTACATCAGAAAATACAGGGTGCTCAGAACAAACGATCTACAGGGTACCATTTGATTTTTTTATATGGAACACCCTATTTTTCATTGTATTTTTAGATTCTCCCTGAAAAGCTGATTTGCTCAATGTATCACACTTGGGGTCTATCGGGAATGATTACAGAGATATAGGGTGTTCAAAATCGAGATTTTTCAACTTTAGGATTTTTTTGAGACGAAACTATTCATCATCGGTCAAAACGGCTTTCGCATGTCCATATCTCAACTTTTGATTTACAATCTACTGACATTTAATAATTGGAACAGATACAGGGTGATCAGAATTCTGAATCTTGAACCACCCTGTAAATGTTCCAATCAAATCTCAATAGACAGTTAATCAAAAATTAAGATGGAAACATACGAGCCGTTTCGACCAATAATGAATAGTTTCGAGACAAAAAAATCCTAAACTTGAAAAATCTCGATTTTGAACACCCTATATCTCTGTTATCATTCCCGCTAGACCCCAAGTGTGATGCATTGATGAAATCAGCTCTTCAGGAAGAATATAAAAATACAATGAAATACAGGGTGTTCGATTTGGAAAAATCGAGTAGTACCCTGTAGATCATTTGTTCCGAGCACCCTGTATTTCCTGATGCAACGGGAAAAAAATTCTGAGAAATCATTTTAGATCATCCTTCAAATTTTTAAATCGGATCAAAAATAAGTGAGCTAGAGGGAGAAAGGACAATTATGGTGAATCACCCTGTACATGCTTATTTGCCATCGAACTTCACTCAAGCCGCTGACCCACTTACGTTCGCATTTTAGAGCAATATCTATACCCTGGCCGACCCAGGTTCTGAGGGCACGAGCCGTCACTGCTGGGGACAAAATATTGAAACACAACCTCACTCTTCTGTGAATTATTGAAACACAACCTCACTTTTTTATTTGTTTACAGAGTAATCAAAGGATTGAAATAGTTTTTCACAATATTTTGGCATACGAATCGTGTTTTTTTGCGCTATTCATTAATTCAAGCATGCCTTTGCATTGTGCTGTTGTACAATGCAGCGAGAGACGAAGGAATATGATTTTTCAGGTAAATAGTAATCTCACATAGTTATCATTATGAAATGTTGGCATTCCTTATTAAAATTCCTTCTGCCTTCTGCCACTTCTGCAATACAAGCTAATACTGCTGATAGATTGGAAATGTCTACAACACACACGATCATATTTCGTCAGCATGTCAGACCAGTCCTCCCAATTGATTGCATGAATCCAATCCCCTTGCATTATTTTAGAAATTTCACGTGATTTTCTATTAGTTCCTATTGCAGAAGGAATTCCGATGAGAAATCAGAGAAATTACCAAATTTCAAGAATTAAAACTATATGTGAATGACTATAGTAGGTACTTTCTTTTAAATCATAATGTACCAACCGGATTCCTTCGTCTTCCGCTGCAGTTTTTGTGCATTGTACAACAGCACAATGTGATTGCATGAGAGAATTGAACAATAGCCAAAAAAATAAGATTCGTATGCCAAAATAATTGTGAAAAACAATTTCAATCACTTGTAAACAAATAAAAAAAGTGAGGTTGTGTTTCAATGTTGTGTCTCCAGGATCGGTCATCTGACAGTTCTTGCACGCAACCCATTGATAGGGGTATTCCAGATCCCTTGTATTTCATTTTTTAAACCCACGAAATTGACATTTTGTATACAAAATACGAAGATCAGGAATTCCTCCAACTCCCTCTGCTTGTCATTTGAACTTGAAATTTTTGAAAATATAACTAGCGGCGCTCTACAATAATTATAATTCTGCTCTAAATTTCTTTGATCTTCATTGTCTTGCCTCTCCCCTGACAAATTTTCAGCGGCGCTCATACTTCATATTCTAGTTAGCAGAAATTAAATCTGATAGAATGTTTGAATGATAGTTGGGATCATGAATTTATTCTTCATTTTACAGGAAACTCCGACGCCAAGTTACATTGGCAGAACTGAGAAGAGGAGCTAGGAAACCTTGGAGGCAACTGAAAACCAAAATGGACGATCTTCATGTGGTGGTTCTCGATTGACCATGAACTTGAATTGTTTAAATTGTAAATTAATTCCGCCAAGTGCTCATTGTGCGGCGGCACAATTTTTAATGAAGACGATTCCTACAATATGACCTCGTGGGAAGGATCTGTGTGACGTGAAACGTGAAAGAACCAGGGTCGAAAGATGACTAGGGATGGGGTTATGTTGAAAGGAGCGCATTTTTTAATCACCTTTAGCAATATCCTGGATCATTTTTCATGGTGATGATCATGGCGACACTGTAACATACACAAAGATCGGTCACCTCATGTTTAACTGTTATGATCAGATTTATTTATTTATTGTGATGTAAAACGGCAGTACAGCTTTTTATTGAAGTGTTCGTTTGTACTCTTTTTACAAAGTACAAAATTATTGTTTGTGTTCTGGAACACAGGATTCAGCACAATGTGTTTTTAAGTACAAAATATTTCAATTTATATTATTATTTCTTATTGCTTTTTCTTATGACTACTTAGGATTGAGAATATTTCGATAAAAAATTGTGCTCCATTGTTTTACAATAATTATGATTTTGTACATATTTGCCTAGTTATATGGTTACTTTTGATTTAATAAAAAACACATGCATCTGCGAGAACATCATTTCAATTAATTTATTTCCAATTTCTATGCAGACAGTCACATACACAGTTCAATAATAATGATACTTATCTACTCTTGGACCATAGGCGGCTTTAAAGAGAAAGCCTGGTAGAGGCAGCTTGGCAACACTGCAAAAGGCTATGCCTTGACCATTAGCACATTACGTATTGTGGATGCATAGGAGCGATTTTTTTCAGTCTTAGAGTAAATTGAAATATTGATGAAAGTCAGTGGAAAGTATCAGGAATATTCTAGTCGAGTTTAAGTAAAACGATGTTTGTGTGTGTGAAAGGCCATCAAAAATAGTTTTTGAATTGAGGTCATGTTTTATGTTGTTTCTGGAAGAAAAGTAAGTAATTTCAACCTTCCTCATAATAAGATGCTGAATGATTGCTGTGTGACAGTGTAAGTCAAATTATGCTTCGGAAAAGAAATATGTTTCAATTTATAAATATCCTTAAGATGAAGAACAGCAAAAAAGTGGATATTTGTGATACCTCGTCAAAATTGGTTCCCATCTCAACATTCTGCAGTGTGTGCAATTCATTTCTGAATCTACTATTGAGAACTAACTTGGCGGTTAGTGCCTTTCACGGTTGGGTGGACATATACCTAGTATATAAGGTGCACAATAGAATGTTTTGATATTCTCCTGAAGATGCTAACATATAGTTAGCGAAACACGTGTCGAGGCATATAAAAAATCGTTTTGGTTAGTGGTAAACAGTTATACCATCCGCTGTGCGATCTATATCCAATACAAATAATCAACCATTTGCAGAACAGAGCCAAAGAGCTACTCAACCTTAGCAAACAAGAGCTAAAGCTTATCACAGGCTTTCTCACAGGACACTGCCCTCTGAGGTACCACCTCAAGAAAAGATGGGCCTGGCGGAGACTGACACTTGCCGCTTTTGCAACAATGCGACCGAAACTGCGGAACACATTCTTTGCTCATGTAAAGTATTAGTCCGCCAAAGGCTGAATCATCTTGAACAGGTCTTTCTCACACCTGCTGATGTGGAAAATTCAACCGTCAGGAAAATTATAGGCTTCATCAGAAGTCTAGGGTTAGAGAACCAGAACTAGATAAGGGTAATCACTATAGATCTTTTAAGTCACAGTGATCGAAAGGTCTCCCAGCCTATACGACCGATCTACAATAGGTAAATCCATGGACGTATTTACCGGCATAAAGGATTTAGAAGCCACTCGACCAGCACATAAAGCAAATATGTGATGCATAATCAAGTTTTCAACTGGACCACTTTAAACATAAAAAAACAACAACCTTCTATCTATAAAAGTATATTAGCTTTACAAAAATAAATAATTCAAAATTACAATATATGTCCTCATGTATCAAAAATATAAAAATATTCCGGAAAACCGGAAACTGTATAAAAGGCTACCTACAGATAACTTGGAGGCAATAAATCACAACTTGGTTTCATGCCTAAACGGCCTCCTCAGCTGCCTCACTATAGCCAAAGGCGGAGGATTGCAGTCCGATTCATCATCCGCACTATCCACATCACCATCACTACTGTTCGTCGAAGCTACAGTCGTATGAACGGGCCTGCCCGCCCGATGCCTTCGATAATACTTGAATTCTCTAGGCAACGTGTAGGACCGCGGCAGGGACACCTGACTCTCCAGATCTGAAGACGCGTGCGGAACCTGCACTTCCACCGCTTCGGGTTCCGGGACTATACAATCGCAGTACAGGTACCTGGGCGCGAGTAGCAGTTCTGGGGTCCTGCTCCGCGGAGCCCTAGGCGGAGGCCTGCGGTTCAGGTTCACCCCGTAGCTAGCCAGGTTGTTCAACGAGGCTAGACTCAACAGCTGCGGCTCCACATGCCTTTTGGCTCTGGGAATCGGCTGCCTATCGTCGAAATCTGCGCCTTCTGGACCCACCAGCTTTCCCTGCTTGATTTCCTCTTCGATTATCTTCAGCTCCGCTAGTTGTTTCTGTTTTTTCTCTTGCAGTTTTTGGTGGATGTTCACTCTGGAGCCTACGCTGCTGCCTTCGTTTTCGCTGGAGGAAGGCAGAGGTCTTCTCCAGAATGGCACTGTTACTGGCCCCAGGCCAGGAGGGGGTACGAATGAGGTTGGTTTCTTCTTTTTTCTGTATAGGGCTGATGCCGAAGGACTGCTGAATCGGCAGTTGAACACACCTGGTGGTTGGGAGGGTTTCTCCATGAGTCGTTTGACATGGAAGAATTTGTAGTAGAGGAGCATGAATATGATTCCAGCAGCAAACAGTCCCACCTGGAATATCAGAAATATACAGGATGTTGCCAAAGTCCATGGGGTAGAAATGAACAGGTGGTCTGGACTGATTAATTTCATTTACATTCGAAAAGAAACAAAAAGCGTTTCGTTTGCGGCGAATTTTCACTCATAAAAATCCGAAGACAATTTGTTAGGAATATTATTTTCCATTCTTATGTGGCAAACGGAAGCAGATTCGTTCCCGAAACGACCAAAGCTAAGTAAAAAATTAATTTTTTATATATCTATATTCCTCTTCAAACATTTTTCAGTACAAGGTGTCACTGACTATCAATTAAATTTAGCTTTAAGGCCCTCTAATTCGCGATAGAAAATAACACGTCACCCCACCTGACAGCACCAACTTGAACACTTCTGACTGGTTTGTTTTGATGATATGGCCAATAAGCACGAACAAAAAACAAATTTGAACCAATGAAAACAAAGTAAACATGCCGCTTTGGCAGCTTCCAAGAACTCCGATAGGTGGCGTACGCTTATTTTCTATCGCGAATAGTGACATTTTGGTGCAAATCATGTGATTTGTCCTTACTGCTCATATATTGAAATAATACGCATATTATTATTTATAGAAACTATAAGAGAAAATCGCACATTCCAAAGGAATATAATTACATGGAGAAATGCAAAGTGAAATCATGACACAATCCCTATTTTTATTCAATAAGAGTCTGGTGCCCTAAGATTACACTTGAACAAAAACTCGCCCATGAATTCATGAAAAATGAGGTATAATCAACAGCTATTTACACATCGAATGATAGAAGATATTTCTAGCATTTGTTCCATTGATATCACTATCAATCATGTTATTTCCCAACCATTCTTTGATTCTGAGACCAACTACATATTATTATTGTAATCGCCATTATGTTCAAATGCTTACTTTGCAGAAAAAAAAGTAAATTTGTGAAATGATGATAATGACTATTATGGTCAATAACTAAATATAAATGAGACAGAAACCTGCAAAATATGATGATAAATGATTGGAAAGCAGAAACACCATAATGAATTTTGTAAGATACCTAGAAAAACAAGATAAGTTGAAAAAATGCAATAAAAAAAAGTGAGATGAGTTGATTTTGTCATACATTGAAATGATATGTGATCAGAAGTTCAATAAAAAAAGGCAAATAAATTAATATATGTCTTCCATGCACATTCCCGACAGTTAATTGTCATACGAATTTCAGGAGTAAGTTTCAAGGACATTGAAATGTTCAAGAAAATCTGAAATTGAAATTATTCTTCATCGCCCCTCAACGGCTCAACGGTGCATTTTCATATGGAGGTAAGTTGTTTTGACCCGATTCTGACCATTAATTCACCTAACCTAACCTGTTGGGAATTAACTTCTCAAAAACTATCAAACAGGAATACAAAACACTTTGTGCCGTTTCTGATTGTGGTGAGCGTCATGGTATCATTTTCTAACAACGTATCGTTCTTGATCTCACCTATTCAGATTGGTTTGAGCACTAACTGCCCAAATTCAATCGAACCAATTTCCACCATTCAAACATACTAACCGTGAGAATAGGCACCAACTCCCACCGATAAGGCCTGTTATGCCACACGGCAGCCATCCAAGCGCCCACCAACAAACAATTCTCCAACAACATGACCACATAGAATATCGACATGGTCCTCCTGTGCGGCTTCTCCTGCAAATTGACGTACGCCAATATATAAATGGCGGCCATCAGCACGCAAACGCCCAGCTTGCTTCCGCGCTGTCCGTGGAACGGGCTCCTGGGAGACAGCAGCCACAGGAACATGCACGTCCAGTGCAACGCCAGCACCAGGTACACCCACGAGTGGTATGAGGCTGCGTACGCAGACAGCGCTACTGCCCTGGCCGTGATGGTGCCCGATCGCCAGAGGAGTTGCGAAACGACGCCCAGCCAGGTGAGCACGAGGCGGTCCACGCTCTGCACGTGCTTGCTGAAGGAGGCCAGCGCCCAGCAGACGGAGAAGAGGGACAGGGCTGCGGAGACGGTTACCAGGTCGGAGGGGGGGCCCTCGGCGGCGCCTGGAGAACGGTGGTGTTGAAAGAATACAAATACACCGAACAATATGGACACAAATAATGGGAATTATTGCAATAATAGTACACGGAAATCGGTATTTTGTTATGGACAATTCAAATCATGTATTAAAAATGCCATAAGCCGCTGGGCTGTGATTTTGTCATTATGACTGCAAAAAAACTTTGTCCTAAGTTTTCCAGCGACAAAATGGAACCTAACATTTGCATTGTCAGAAAAGTATCTGATCTGTGGAAATGTCACAATTTGAAGTTTTTGACTGGAGAAATTGAAACATCCATCAATAATAATGTGATTCACACATTCATTGAATTGACTCACCGAATTACACTCAAGAATTTACATATGGGTCGAAGTAAACTGAAGATTTATAAATTGAGTTTTGTTGCTCTTAGAAAATTTTACTCAAAAAACTACCAGAAAAAATTACTCGTCCTATGGAGTCAACAGCGGCGGATTTACCGGTACGCTTAGTATGCTGAAGCTTAGGGCCCCGACCCTTGCGGGGGCCCCGCAGGGGTCTTGCATTGCATCATTATTTTCCCATATAATTTGTTTGTATAAATGAAATAATGACAAAAATAAATCCGAGCAATACTTATTTTATATAGCGGCAGCGGCAACATTGCAAGTTGATAAAAATGTTGAAAAATATATACAGGGTCCTGCCGTGTCCTGCCGATTTCATAGGGACAGTATTGCCATTTCCTAAAGGGAAGAAGATAGAAAAATTGATCAAATTAGACAAAAGTCGCGTAGTTTAAACGTCTTCAATACCAATTCCATTTTTTTCCCCAAATATTAGCTGAATAAGAACAAAATCAATGATTTTCAGTTTTTTCGAAATATTTCAGGAAAGGCTGGAATTTTTCGAGTTTGCAAAACGGCATATTGAAAAAGTTTAAATTACTGTCTCTCTCCTCTACTGTTTAGGAGACACCTAGCAATACTGTCCCTATGAAATCGACGGGTTCCTGTACAGCAAAGGAATGATGAATGGAGGTATTTATATACGAGTTGGTTACAAAATTATACCGTCGACTATATATTTCTCCTGCAATGAAGAAAAATTGGTTCGCGAATTCATCATTCATCCGGAAACTACTAAGAATCGCCCAGTAGCTTTGTTACTGACATTAGTGACATTTGGAATTTGTCGAAATGATCAACATAGAAAATATAAATTCCTTGTGTTAGAAAACAGGGATTAAAATCGTTTCAGAAACTTGGAAAGGCGAACCCGTTAACGGAAAATCTTCGATGAAATCCATATTTTCGATCTAAATGCAGATTCCGTAAGTTATATGTTTGGTTGCCTATAAAACAATCGTGCATTAATAGAAAAATTGATCATTGATAAGGGTCATTAATGAACGATTTCATGAACATTAAACTTACTCGTTCTCGTTAATACGAGGTCGACGGAAAAATCAAATAAAGAACTGTATTGCTGAAGAAAATATTACCACCTTTGGGAATGCTTTCGATCGAAAGTGATTTGACGAACAGTTTGAAAATTATGATGGTGCAATGAAATGATTCGCAGATTTGAAAATCAGAAATCAGGAATCGTAATATGTTTCTCCTAGTAATTTCGTTATGGTTTAGAACCTGTATGAACTCGAAAACATTTTATTTTGTAGGTATCTGATCCTAGTCAGTGTTATAGTTACGGTTATTTTATTTTATGTCGTTCTATTCTTTTATTTGTTTTTTTTTGTTTCCTATATCCTATAGATTGAAGATACTATATTTTTATCAAAGAATGTCTTTTTTTTTTGCTTTTTTATGTCCTTTATATTTTCATCATCAAATGTTTAGTTTTGTTTTCATTTGTATTTGGGAAGAAAATATTACATGGTATTATTGATTAACAAAAACAGAAGGTATTGAGTATTGATTGAAAAAAAAAAGAAGGAATAGGGGTGGGGCCACAGGGGCCCAAGAATCAGTAAGCTTAGGGCCCCAGAAATCGTAGATCCGCCACTGGTCGTCAATTTTTTTCGTTCAATTTCCAGGCAACAAAATTCTCATTGAAATGTTGAGTTCACAAAACAAAGCTCTTGGGTTTTTTATAAAAATAATGGAAGTGCTTTATTGGTTACCCAATAGGCCACCGACCGGTGTTTTGTTATATAATATAAGAGAATATAATTATGCACTAATCCAAGAAATTAACACACCATCAAAAAGTTGCCAACAGTTTAGGGAACATTTTCGTCAAAACTAACGTCCAAAATTTGGATATTGATTTTACATAAAATGATGTAATGCTATAAAATTGTGTTTCTTGAGTGATAGGAAAGATAATGGAGTGAATTCAAATAAGGCTAGTGTGATTTCAATTCTAACTACAAAGTGTAACTCTCAGTGTAACTATTACACTCTACAGGGTATTAAGAAATTTCATGAAAAAACACAATGTAATTGCTACACCCAGTATGTATGAAAAAGAAGTTTTCATGCGGATACAGTTTGCACACCAATGTTCAGAAGAAAATATCCTGTCATTCAAAACAAAAACTGTCCAAATCGGACAAGTACTTTTGACGCCAATGTTTCCTAAACTTTTGACTACTTTCTGGTGGTGTGTTGGTTTCTTGGAGAAGTACATTTATGTGAATTATTGTAAGAAAAAGTGATTGGTATTTCTGCTATGTTGTTGATGCATTCCAGCACGGTGTTTACTGGGAACTTGTATCTTGAAGTCTCGGCAGGGTCTCTTTGAATGCCCTGGGTTTGAATAATTTGTAAGTTAGTTTTTGGAAAACTTCTGTGCTAATTTTTTCAGCCTCTCGCTAATTGGTTGTACCTTAGTGAGATGGTAGACGAGTTCATTTGGAGGGTTCTGAAGAGGGTTTTGTTATTGCTCTCAGGCCAGATCTTTTTGCTACTTCTAAGTCCTTCATTGGAGGCTTTCTGGTGTTAATCTATATTGGGTTGTAAATGTGAGCTGCTGTTTTCCTGCTAATTCCTCTCTTCTTGTATGTTAAGTTACGAAAATGTTTGGCTCTTGTGATACACTTTTTTTTCATGAGTTTAGTATGGTGATTAAAGTTTAATTTTGGGTCTAGGTGAACTCCTATGTACTTGGCTACTGTGCTTGTTCTCACTATATAGTTATTCACACTGACTGAAGGTGAATTATTTGAGATATTATGGTTGCATATTATCAGTTGGGATTTTTCTGGGTTTGGCTTCAGTCTCCATTTATCACATCATTTCATAGTATCCTCGATTGTTTCTTGTAACTTTCTCACAGTTTTCTGTAGTTTTTTGTTGTGCGCCTATGATAGAATAAAATCCATATCTCCATAACAGAAAACTATTTTGAAAAATCCTTGGACAGGTCGATTTTTATTTTTGAGAATCAATTTTTTTGCGTTAAATTTTTCAACCATATGTCAACCTCCTGCCCAACAGATCGACCCTTTCAACATTTTCAAATTGTACACTGCTTGAGGGGTATTTTAAATCTCTATACAATGCCAGTAGAATTTCTCATGAGTTCTTGTTCATAAATATTTTTATGTCTTCATATAAAAAAAACACTTTTGGAGTTGTGTCACATCAGTCTGGAGAATTCTTCAAAATCTACAAAAATACTGAAAATTCTGCGATTTTCAGAACCTCATTCCATGCAAATTACTTATGGATCAGCCTTGGGATCAGCATTCCAAAAATTCATATTTTCATAAAAAGTAATTATTCCCATGGTTGAGTAAAAGTTCATTTCTCTTTCCGCAAAAATAGCATCTAAAACACTATGTACAATGTTAGCACATATTTGCAAAAAATAATTCCAATTTTCAAACCAGTTCATGAGTTTTTTGCAAGTCAAAAATGGCATAAATGATTCTAGATTTTTCTTAGGACATTTATCGTGAATCCACCAACTATTCAGAAGCCCACAATCAAGATAATCCCAAAATTTCATGGTAAATATTCAATGATTCCTTAGCAAAAAAATGTATAACCTTCAACTCTACCCTTCTGTTATAAGGAATATTAATAGTTATGGAATGTTATTTTAAATTCAGTGATCAGGAATCTATTCTGAAAATTTAGTTCACTACTATAGATGTTATTACTTCAGAGAGTCATCTCATCAAAATTTTATTACACCAAATAATGATAATAGAAAGATAAGCAGATTCCACAGAAGCTTCTTCCTTGAACCAGTGAAGCCATTTGAAGTTATCTCCATTATAAACAAGACAACATCCAAGCAGTCTGCTGGCATAGATGATATAAATCGTAAAATTCTCAAATCTGTCTGTACTTTTGTAGCAGAAATTATATCATGTTCACTAAAAAAATCTTTCACATCTGGAACATTTCCAGATGTGAAAAATTCAAAATGTATACCTGTATTCAAAAACAAAGGATCCACTAGTGATACACATAACTATGCATACAGAGTCAAATTGCTAAAATATTTGAAGCATCTTATTGTTAGATTAACCAAGTACTTGGAACACTTCAATCTCCTCCCAGCAAATCAGAATGGTTTTCACAAAAACAAATCAACCTTCTCGGCAATCTCTGATTGCTTAGAGTTTATCTAAAAGGCACTAAATGATAGAAATAATGTTCTATAACTTTTATTAATCATCAAATTGAAAGGGTTAGGTGAGGTGTTCCACTTCAATGGATAGCATCATATTTTACAAACAGAACTCAGTCAACGGTAGTGAATAATGTGAAATCAGAATCAAGAGCAATAAATAAAGGGGTTCCACAGGGTTCAATCTTGGGACCACTACTGTTCATAGTCATTCTGAGTGACATTGATGACACTGGTACCTCCGCAAATCAAACAATAATATATGCTGATGATAGGAATATTCTAAAGTCACACAACAACATTGACCAACTTACAAAATTGAGCAACAATGCATCCAAAGAAATAGAAAAGCATAGTCTTGAAAATGGTCTTATTTTGAATACAAACAAAACTAATTATGCCCCTTTCCTGCCAAAAAAACGTAAATCCAAATTATGACCTATACCTAAATTTATCTGGAAAATCTATACAATCAGTGGAGACTATCAAGTTCATAGGTGTTACTTTGGATAGTAATCTAACATGGAAAGCACACATAAACACTATATGTTCAAAACTAAGCACTATATGCTATGTAATAAAAAATCTGATAGATACTGTATCTACAAACATCCTGAAGTTACTTTATTTTGGGCTGGTTCAGTCATTTCTGCAGTATGGCCTGATTTTTTTGGGGTCCTCTTGTCACTTTGAAAGGGTATTTGTAACACAAAAAAGGATAACAAGAACAATGTGTCATGCTCATCCAATGAAAACATGTAAACCACTCTTCAAGAAATTTCAAATACTAACCCTACCATGTTTGTATATTCTTGAACTAACTATGTACATCAAAATAAACCAAAATTAACTTATGAGAAATGAAGATATGCATATGTACAATACTAGGAATAAAGAAACATTTCCACAGCCCTATTCAAGATTGACAATCTGTGAAAATTCACCAAAGCATATGGGTATCAAATAAAATACAAGACATAATAGATGTGAACTTGAATGATATTTCATTCAAAAATAAATTGAAGAACTTTCTTCTTGAAAATGTGTAGAGGAGTTTTATAATTGTTGATATTTAAATATTGTCAGTGTTTAATGTGTATGAATGAATGTTTTATTTTTTGTCTTTGTGACTTTACCTAGGTACACTATTTTAGCATTGTATTTGTAAACATTTCTTCTGACTAGTCTGATAAGTTTTGTACATTATGTATGATCTATACCTTGTATAATCTTTGATTGAGGAATTAATTTATCTCATTTATCTAATGATTATGATTCTAGAATTTTGCCAGAAATCCCTCTCTTGAATCTCTTCCCCCTCTTTTGTTGACAATATTACAGATTCTCAAATTTTGTCTGGAATCTTCATAAACAAAAGCAAGTTTTTAAAATTGAGGTTGATATTATAATATACTTATACCTCAGTAATGAATATTTTTTAAATGCTATTTCAGCCACACCTTGTTAAATTAAGGCTCATTAACATAAAAGCAGTAGCAGATATTCCTGTACTTTGATGGATTTCTTTTCTAATATAAAGAGAAAAATTGAATCCACCAAGGTTTTTGACTTGAATTACTAGGATGGGAAAGGGACAAAAAACATGGAGCTGCAGTTACTTGAGTAGAGATATTCATATTTTACTATTTTGTAAATGTTATGGATGGTGAAAGAGAAACATGGTGAAATTCACAACCTGAAATAATAAAAAAGGAGATTTACTGGTATAATGTGGGAAGAAAAGGAATGGACCATAACAAAAGGGTTGGAAAGATTATGTAAAATATACCTCTTGTAGGCAAAATAATATCAAATATGTTTTTATTGAGCAGTAATGAGCAAGAATGATTGCAACCATATCATCAAACCTAGTTTCTAATTACCTGGTAATAAAGTCAACTGTAACAGCAGCATAGGAGCAGCTTGTAGAAATCCATGTACCAAGCGTAAAATACACAAGTCTCTAACTTCTTGTTTAACAATAGCTAACTGTACAGGAACAAGAAGCCGAGCATATCGCCACAGCACACCCAGCTGCAATACATGCAGCACTATCACCATAAATCGCTGCCAACCACTTGGTTTTTGCCTGGGTTTTTGATCTAAATACCAATATACTGAGAGGATTTGAGATACTAGAGCAGCCAGGACAATAGCACCTAGACACTGAGCAAACGGCACCGTCATGCCCCTTTCAAAAAGGGCATAGACCACTAGGATGTCAAAGACTACATCACAAAAATATGCTGCTAGGGAAACTACATTGAAAAGCAGGTCACATAATGGCAAGAATTCTGCCATGACTCTGAGTTAATCATCTCATGCTGAAAAAAAGTATTCATAAAAGGCGAGCTATTTAAAAATATTTTTAATAATCCTACTTTATTTTCCTTCCAGTATTTTCCTGGGCCACTCTCTGCATTCCTAACAATCCTAACCTCCTTTCATTTTCAACCCCAACTTATAACTAACACATGCGTTCTTCATGAAAGGCACACATTCACTTTTGAAATATATCTATCCATCTTGATGCACATGAATTTTCGCTTCAACCACCCATGTGAAAATATTTGCAAATTTTGAAAATATTTGATCAGATCTCTGGTAATCTGCTATTCGTAATGAGTAATGAATGTCAAATGTCAATGTCACGTAAAATTTTTGCATTTTAGGAGAATGGAATGTCGTAGTGACTATGTCTACTATCACGTCACAAATGGGTAAGTTTATTTTTCGAGAACACCATTAGGTAGAAGTAATGACGGCTAAATATCTAGACTGTAATAATAATAATCTATTTTCAAATTTAAAATAATGGTAATTTTGCACTTATCATGCGATGGGTTTTTTTTCGAAAATTTTTTTGGTACTTTCGTATTTTTGTCTGAAAAACACGAATTTGATAATGAAAATGTGAACAAACCATTATTTATTGAGATATTTCACTATAAAGTTACAAATTTCACCTTCTTTTCCGCCTGTCTTTGGGGCGCATTTAGAACAATTTGCCCTTCTTTTTCCATCATTGGACAATTTATATATATCACACAATGTTAGACACATATTTTTTATTATATGAGTCAACTAGAAATATGATTCTCTTGTGATTTATCCATGTTTAGTGAAAAGAAGGAAGAATATCATTTGAAATAATGGCGTGTGTGATGTCATTCCAAAGCAATCTATTGACATTTGACATCTATTTGGATTACCCATCCATTAAATGGCGGTCATCTGGTATGCTTGCTCACTAAATAGGAAAAACTCACCATAAAAATCATATTTCCTGTTGAATTTTCTGGCTTAAAATGTGTCATTGAAGTACATCATGAGTATATGAAGTGTCCAATGACAAAATAAAAAGAGCAAGTACCTGTAAATGCATCCAACACAAGGGGGAAAATAAGGCAAAATTTCGAACTTTTTCTTGAAATATCTCGATAAATAGTGGTTTGTTCACATTTTCAATATCAAATTCGTGTTTTTCAGACAAAAATACGTAAGTACCAAAAAAAATTTTCGAAAAAAAAACCCATCGCATGATAAGTGCAAAATTACCAAAATAATTATAATTTATCAACATCATTTTCAAAAAACTCTTTATACTTTTTTTTAAATAGAAATACAATGAATACATATAATATTATACAACATAATATTATAACATAATCAGGTGAGCTATGTATACATAAACATAGATTCAATACTATAATTTTTTTGTCATAATCACACAATCACAATCACAATGAAAAAATAGTGGTATAATCAGTAGAACAAAATACTGAAGGACAATATGTTTATAATAAAAAATGAGAGATGATGAGATGTTAAAGAATGCTCAGAAGTGAAAATAGTGAAACCGGCAAGAAATTCAACATAACTGTTGTTTCCCTACTCAACAAATAATTGTTAAAATGATGACCACGTTTATTAATGACTATATTTTGACCAAATCCTATTGGTCGGTGTATTATAAACTGTATACCGAAATTGGTTGCCTACCAGGATGAGAATGAAGACAATCTCGGTAATGTCAGTGATGACAAGCGCCGGCTATCGAGTATCGAGGCACTTCCAGCAAGTTCCAATACCATAGGTTATGTTTTTTATTGATATTATGATTATTCTGGAATGTTAATTTTATTATTTATCAACTTTGGATTTTATTTCGGAAGGAAAATGAATAAAATAATAATGTGAAATGGGTAGAATAACAAATTCAACCATATCATAAAATTAAGGTGCTTATTTCAGTGATTCACTATTTGGTCTATTTTCTAATAAATTTGAAGGTACCTATACCAAATAGAAGGACAAGAGACAATTCAAAGAAGAGGCACTAATATTCTAAAATAGGCAGGATTATTTCTATATTTCATCATTACTTGAAGGTTCTGCTTCCTGCCTCCAGTAAAAAATACCAAGAATAGAAGAAGAATAAAATACTTGAAATACATAGGTACTCAAAGTTTCCAATTCAATCATGTTTTTAGGATATCCAATTTTTTTCTTGGGCACCCTATTCATGAGGAGTTTTTTTTACAGGCTAGATAAAATTTATAACCAAGAAACTAATGGATCTATTCTATGATATTATTAATTGAAATGGATTTAAAAGCAATTTTAAAACGAAAGTTACAGAAATTGAATGGTAATTTCAAGTATAATGTGTTTTACTGATCTGGTAACACAGTTTTACATCTGTAGGTTCCCAAAAACTGTCTAGCAAAGAAATTGAAGAAATAGAGGATACACATTTCAAGAATTATTTGAGAGAATGGACAAACAGAGAACCTGCAGCAGAAAGAGGAATTCCTAAGTTTTTCAACAAAATCCCAAAACAAAATGAACCACTCAGATCAAAATTGAGAGAAGAAAGCAGATCTAATTTATTGAAAAGAAAAAGCTTACAACTCCTAGACAATGATGAACTAAAAGAAGTCTGGGTGTTACTGGACCAAAACCAAAGCTATCCTGAAGAACAATTGATAACTTATGCAGATTTTCAGAAAGTTGCAAAATTAGCTGGACCAAAAGTAAAACCCTATTTCACTCCTATTGTATTTGCTAAGCTACAGCAAGGTGATCCTCAGGGTAGAGTATCTATCATGTCTTTATTTAATTATGCTATGAGAAAAGTTTGGCTTGACCAAACCAGAATTGGTTTGTCTTTATATGATGCTACAGGTCAAGGATATCTCACAGAAGCTGATCTGGAAAATTACATCACTGAGTTATTACCTACTCTACCACAACTAGATGGTCTAGAAAAATCATTTCATAGTTTCTATGTGTGCACTGCAGTCCGGAAATTTCTATTTTTCCTTGACATAGTGAGAGCTGGAAGAGTTAGAATATTGGATGTTCTTGCTTGCTCATTTCTGGATGATTTACTAGAGCTCCGTGATGAGGAACTAAGCAAAGAACTTCAGGAACAGAATTGGTTCAGTGCACCTTCTGCACTTCGTATTTATGGCCACTATTTGAATTTGGATAGGGATCATAATGGGATGCTAAGTAAGGCTGAATTAGCAGGTTATGGTTCTGGAACTTTGACTAAACCATTTTTGGATAGGGTGTTCCAAACTTGTTTGACTTATGGTGGTGAAATGGATTACAAAACCTATTTGGATTTAGTGCTTGCATTGGAGAATAGGAGTGAACCACAGGCTCTAGCATATTTATTCCGGATTTTGGATATAAAAAACTGTGGATATTTGGATTCATTCACACTGAATTATTTCTTCAGGTGAGTTCACAGAAAAAAAAATGATCAGGAAGATTTTGGTCAATGACCTGGGGTAATCCTCAATAAATATATTCCCTCCCTCATAACAAAACAAGTTATTTTGGCAATATGATAAATTGTATCTATTTCTTCACATTATAATAATGTAATTACTTGAAATGAAAGTTATACCATTGAATTAACTATAGACATTCTTCAAAATTATCTACAGTTCTCAACTCATGCAATATGGACCAATAATTCAACTAATTTACTTGAAGTTTTCAGCATCACATGTTGCATTTCATCAATTTCAAACATAGCTATGATATTTTGAGATGATCAGCCTATCAAAGTATCAAAACATACACCAGCTGTGAGGTAAAACCAATACATTAATATATATATATATTTGTGGTGTTGTGTGGACTTTAAAAAATGTTTTCTACTAGATACAATAAGATACATTGAGACTTCTCAGAACAATATCCATATTATTCCAAAATTTGCAACTGGAATTTTTATTTTTCTACACTATTTTATAGACACTTGTTTCTACTTGAAAGGGTGATCAGATCCAAGAAAATCACCATAACTGAGCATACAGGGTGGACACAAAATTCATTCATCACAAACATGTCACTAATAGAAATCCTAACTGTGGCTCATTTGATACAAAATATGTTTCAGGAAATTCCGGGAAATTCATCTTCAATTGCCATATAGAGCAGATTTTCAATTTCGAATTTGTTTCTTGTCAGTGATTTTTGTCAATATTGTGAATGCAAAGACCAGTTGGTGCTATACAGTGTGTCCCACTTACCATGCTCACCATGGGTATCTTTTTAACGGTGAGAGATAAGAGGTCGGTTAAATGACACCAAATGTGAAGTTTTTCAAGGCCAACTATAATGTAAACAAATATTTTGATAAAATCTATTCGTTTTTGTTTTATACGCAAAAAACAGATTTTGATCATTTTCATGTCTCCTCCGTAACTTCTTTATTTATGAAAATATTCGAATAGGAATTTCACATTCTCATGGCAGTTTTTCAAAGTGATTTCGAAAAAGATATGAAATTTATACCAACTCTTCTAGAATTTGAGATATCAGCACCAACTTTAGTTTTTCAAATGTAGGTCATAGCTCACTATGACTTAGTTACAAATAATTTTTTTTTCTCTTACAGATGCGATATGTCGCAGTAATAGTTTTGTGTTGATAACAATGGAGTTATCGTCATTTATACAAAAACAAAATATTATTTGGAAGCCGCCATCTTGAATTTATAAATTTCAACAAAAAATCATGATCTCCGACCTCAAAAACCCCCACTTACCAATTTTGAATCGAATCGGACCAAATCTTGTCCGCCATCAATTTACAAAAATGGCTGCTCCAAGATGACGGACAAGATTTGGTGTCATTCCATTCAAAATTGGTAAGTGGGGGTTTTTGAGGTCGGAGATCATGATTTTTTTGTTAAAATTTATAAATTCAAGATGGCGGCTTCCAAATAGTTTTTTGTTTTTGTATAAATGACGATAACTCCGTTGTTATCAACACGAAACTATTACTGCGACATATCATCTGTAAGAGAAAAAAAAAGTTATTTGTAACTAAGTCATAGTGAGCTATGACCTACATTTGAAAAACTAAAGTTGGTGCTGATATCTCAAATTCTAGAAGAGTTGGTATAAATTTCATATCTTTTTCGAAATCACTTTGAAAAACTGCCATGAGCATGTGAAATTCCTATTCGAATATTTTCATAAATAAAGAAGTTACGGAGGAGACATGAAAATGATCAAAATCTGTTTTTTGCGTATAAAACAAAAACGAATAGATTTTATCAAAATATTTTTTCACATTATAGTTGGCCTTGACAAACTCTACATTAGGTGTCATTTAACCGACCTCGTATCTCTCACCGTTAAAAAGATATCCATGGTGAGCATGGTGAGTGGGACACACTGTATATAGACGCTGGTCACTCTATATGTGTAAGCTATAATGAAACCATATACAAATATTTGGTTTAGTTTCATCACTGATTTAGCCAATTTATATGCTACCATGATATGTCTTCTAGAATTTTGAACATCATATCTAGGGTCCTGACGATTTCTTATTGGAAGTTTTGCCATTTCCTTAAGGGTATTTCCAAAACTGGTGAAGTTAGCTCTCCAATTTTGAGAGAGCTCAAGCCCAGGGGCGAAAGTTCAGTGGATATCAAGGGAGGGCAAGGAACCTAGAAACAATTTCCGCACAGAAAAAAATGCGCCGCAGCAAAAATTTTTTTTTTGAGCTCAAGGTCAAGTGCCTCCAAATTGAAAATTAGATTTTCTCTGGGCCAACGACTTCATTACATAATTATGTTATATATTCTTCAGTTTCCTGTTCTCATTTACTTTCAATTAATAAAAAATGATCTGAAAATAAGAATAATATGAAGAACAAGTGAAAAGTATTTTGAATTCTGTCTGTAGGGTAGGTACATTCTTATTACTCCAGATTTTTTGAGACATAAATTCAAACTCGTTCATTTCAAATACATTCATAGTATATAAGGACACACAAGGTGTCACTATTTATTAATATCCATAACATTCATTTGTATCTGAGATTACTTTTTTAGATATCTGAAAGTAATTTTTTTTTATCTCAGTGACAATTTTTTAAAATCTATACATGGTTTGTCCTTACTACAAATATTAAAAAAAAACACGCATATTTTAATTTGTAGAAATGAGAAGACAATATTCTGAAGAATCTAGGGAAATTAAAACTATTTTGATAATGAATGTAAATGATGTTAAATGTGAGAGCATTAAAATTCGGCTTCCTGTCTGAAAATTTGTCCAGTAGTTCCTGATGATCGATATTTTTGGTACCTATATTGGAAAATATAGAAAAAAATACATTCTCACATAATTTCTTTGGGGGGGGGGGCAAACCCTCCTAACTTCGCCACTACCTATATGTTGTGGTGCTTTTCTTGTACCTGATCGGCCTCTAAGTGTCGTAAAAACGATATGCTATATCCCTCATAACTTGTTCAAGATCACATTGGTTATGATTATGTGATATCTAATCTAGGATAAAAACAATAGGTAGCCCTAGAACATCATCAAGGTTGAGTAGGTAGTTACTAACTTGAATATTTCGTTTGCAGAGCAATACAGGATCAAATGAGAGCACATGGTGCTGATCCAGTTTCGTTCCAAGATGTGAAAGATGAACTGTTTGATATGGTTAGGCCTAAGGAACCAGAGAAAATAACTCTGGCTGACTTGTTAGCTTGTTCTCAAGGTGACACATTCATCAGCATTTTAATCGAGTTCCATGGATTCTGGGCGTATGAGAATCGTGAAGCTGTCTCAACTGATCCTACACAAGATTGATACCATATTGCACATTGCCAAGTTGTACATTTTTGAAAACCACATATAGATATTATACCAATCATGAGTTCAGTGATGTGCTTTGCGTTACTTGTTCATTTGAACCAGGCCACTTTTTTTACCAGAGGAAACATTATATTTCCAACCAGCCCAGGAACTTGACCAAAAACTATAGGAAATTCTGAGTTTGCATTGTCAAAGCAGGTGTTGGTTTTCATTTTTAGCTATTTGTCAGTAATTGCTAGAATTAAATATTCTGTTGCTCTGTAAAAATTGAAATTGTCATTTTTTAATACTTCTATGAAAAAGTTATGTACTGTATTCTGATATTTGCGAACGATACACTTCAAGCAAAGATCATACACAATATCATCTTTGCTTCAAGTATTAGAAATACACAGGAATAGTGCACTTTTTTGAGTTGTATGCACAAAAGCAAATCTATGTGAACTGAACGATGTGATTTTTAGAATTTTTTACTTTTTTAAATAAACAACTTTGAAATATTACCTTGTTCTTATTCTTTTATAAATCTTCGATTATATTCTCATATACTCAATAATATACAGGGATATCCAAATTAAGCGTCCACCAAAGAACCTTTTGATTGAAATATCAAACTAGCAGTATTTTTTTCCGCAGATCATAAGAAATAAGAGAATAACTCCTAGACAAATTATTATTCAAAGTGGAATTGACCTAATTTAGTCCAATAATTCTTTACTCCATATTCGTGATGTTTTGTGATTGAAAAAATAATGAAAATTACGTTATCTCCGTTATCCTCCATCATCTAGAACCATTATTGGGCATTATCAGCTGTAGATATTGATTATAAGAGAACTTTTTCCATGTTATATTATAATGGATAATATATTTTGAGGTATTAACACGAACAAGAACAGCCCAGCAAATATCAAATCTCTGGCCCAGTACATGATAGATCGGCAGATTGCTGGCCATATGGCCAAGCTGCACTGGTCAAACGTCGGCCCAATGTATGGCATATTGTAATCGTTTGCCTATAATTCAGACGGCACTGGGAGAATAGTGTGAATTCGTATTATGTTTTTACCTACGTCATACAATCGTCCACTCATTATATGCATATTGAACTAAATATAATCTAGCCGCGGCACCGTGCCAAATATAGAGTATGATTATATTTCAGTTTCAATAGAAAAATCTAATTTTTAGGACGGTGGAATAGCGCAGTGGTTGAGGCGCTCGACTAGTAATCAGAACATCGAAAGGTTGCTAGGTTCGAATCCCCAGGAAGAGCAAATAATTTTTATATAAAAAACGATCTATAAATTATAGTTTTCGTAGTCTTGGCCGGAGATGATTCCGCACGATTCGCTGTTGCGTTCCAATTAACAGTGCTGCGCATGGAGTTAGTAACAAAGCCTACTCAGAACACTATAATGAGCTGAAGGACCTCTCGTAAGGTCGATGGCCAGTTGGTATGTACATACATAAATACCAAGCAAGTATACAGGGTAACTCACGGTCGATGGTACGCGTTAGACGTTTATGGAGAACGGGACATAGGATCATTCTGAAATTTTGGTTACTCACGTAGTTGCTCTTGGTCTATCGATCTAAAATATTTTCAGCTCTGCGGCGTTGCCGCTTCTATCGAAAAGTAGCAAAACTTTGTTATTTTATTGCATTTTCAGATTCTTTCTGAAGAGCTGATTTCATCGATGTATCACACTTGGGGTCTAGCGGAAATGAATACAGAGATATAGGGTGTGAAAAATCGACATTTTTCAACTTTAGGAATTTTTTTTGTCAAAACTATTCAATAATGGTCAAAACGGCTCACATGTCCCTATCTCAACTTTCGATCAACTATCTACTGACATTTAATTGAAACAAATACAGGGTCGTGCAGAATTCAGAATCTTGATCACCCGGTATATGTCCCAATTAAATATCAGTAGATATATATAGTTAATCAAAAGTTGAGATAGGGACATGTAAGCCGTTTTGACCAATAATTAATAGTTTCGACAAAAAAAAATTCCCAAAGTTGAAAAATGACGACTTTTCACACCCTATATCTCTGTAATCATTTCCGCTAGATCCTAAGTGTGATTCATCGATGAAATCAGCCCTTCATAGAGAATCTGAAAATGCAATGAAATACAGGGTGTTCCATTTAAAATAACAAAGTTGTTGCTACTTTTCGATAGAAAATATTTTAGATCGATAGACCAAGAACAACTATACGTGAGTCACCAAAATTTCAGAATGATCCTATGTCCCGTTCTCCGTAAACGTCTAACGTATATAGTACCATGGACCGTGAGTTACCCTGTATCATATACGTATTAATAAACAATACGGATCATAACGGGTGCCAGGATGAAGCCAAAAATATGAAACAAATGAATATCCATAAGGATTTGGTGGCATGATACGTAGTCATCAAAGACATGCGTTTCGGTGGACAATGACGTTTACTAGCCTTTCAATCAAAGCAGTATATATGTGTCTGATCGTATCTCACTTTTCCTTATGGATAGTCATTTGTCTTCAAAAATCGGCTTCATGTTTCGCTATGGAAACAGATAGAGATTATCCGTATTGATTATTAATACGTATATATGCCCTGTATACGCATATACTACTACTACCATGTTATTATTCCCATATAGCACTCGACGTCCTGAGGACGTCCAGTATTTAGGCCCGATTTAGGTCTGAACGTCCGGGACCTTTACAAGACGTACTTAAAACGTCCGCTTCTGGACGCACGATTACGATGTACTGGGTACGTCCAACTCTGGACTTTATCGACTTTCAAGGGACGAGATTGAATAAAACTGTATATATAATGATAATTGAAATCATTGCACATAATTTATTCTACCCTCGATCTCTGATATCTATTCATTCAGGAACCTTATTGCAAACATGAACATAATACAATTCTCACAATTCTTTTTTACTAGCCGTATACCTGATCACAAAACATCTATTCAGGTATTCTCTGCCATGAGCATCTAATTCTATGCAAGTATTGATGTGAATAAGGATCTATCAACATTCACACATAATATATTGTTGTATACTCTGACATATAATCAAGTCTTCTGTAGAGTAATAGGTAGAGCATCTGCACGGTAATCTGAAGGTCGTGGGATCGATCCCCGGTAGTAGCACAATATTTTTTTTTTTGTCAACATAATATTTTTTTAACCTATCTAGGTCTCTATGTTAACTATTTGAGTAGAAAAAAGGTGGATCAACGTTGATCCAGGTATTAATGGTCCCGTTCAGACCTGAACAGAACCTTCATCGTACGTCCTAGGGACCTCTGGTTGTGTAACATCGTATGTCCCCAAAACGTCCTGAAAACGTACGCCGTACCTAAAATGGACGTTCTGGGGACGTTTCCAATGCCCGAGGTGTACGACTTGAGGACGTTTTCGGGACGGTTCTGTGCTATCTGGGTTCATTGCATTTAAATAACGTGAGTAAGTATATATCTATTTCGTTGGTATGTATGTACAGGGTGGGCCAAATTGGACACTCAAAGTGAAAGTCCTATTCCCGATATCTATCTTGGTTTCAGAGTTACAAGGTGTTTTTCGAAAATATGAATTTTTGAAAAGTAGCTGAAACTCATTTTCAAAACGAGTCTTTTTCGTCGCTGATTTTTGCCCTTATTATTGTTTGACTGATAGGTATTTCAGATAGTGATGGGCAAAGTCAACTTGCCTGCTAAATTCCGTACATATATAGTTAATCGGTAGAACTCATATAGAACTAGTCATTATTTCGATCTGTTCAAGCAAAATTTCCGAACTGGTTATTATGAAAAACTTCCTTTTTGCTCAAAATTTATCGTTTTTAAGAAAATCTTTGAAAGTGTGAGGGACACTTTGAATATTTTATATTTGATGCTCGTTTGTGACATTTGAAAATCCTGTGTCACAGTTTACAAAAACCATTTACCAGGATGAACTTATTGATATAAACTGAACAAGCGAAATGTTTCAAGAACGGTCCTGGATTCTCCTGAGTTTGAATAAGTCAGTCGATTATATAGGGTAATAGCATAATATTCTATTAAAAAATTCAGACGAATCGAAGAAGCTGTTAGAAAGTTATGACCAAAAGATGTTTTTGCCAAATTCTATAATTATCTATATTCCCATATAGCACCATCAGTACGTCCCCAAAACGCACTGAGAACGTCCGGCCAAGATGTTTCGTACGTACTGAGGACGCCCAGATTAGGACCGTAGACGTACAAGGTATGTACAGTTTCCTCATGACTCAGCCTGTATTATTCCTGTTTTAATCATTTCGCATTGAAAGTCTCTAGCCATTGTATAGGTATCTACGCCTATGGTTTTTCTGCTTTCACGAAATTGATGGCGCCTAGCAAGGTCTTGATCGCGACTGGCCACGACCTTCACATCATCAAGAGAATTCCAAAAATTCCAAGAGTCAATAACGCTTATGGAATTCTTCGCCAAAAATAAACGTTTTATTTTTTCTAATGTGTAGGGGGCAGAGTGTACAGAGGCTCGTATTGAGCAGGGAATAAGAAAACAACCCATAATGTTTCTCGAAATATTTCCCAAACTGAAGCTGAAACTGAGCTGAATTCAGACTTTATAATCTCTGAATTCAGACTATTTTATCGTCTTAATTTCAGGATTTTCTCTTTGAGCTTAGACTTTCTCTCTGAATTCCAAGGCAGAAAATCACGCGCGTTTATTTCTTTCGGAAGAAAATAAAGGTTCCTACAGTAATTTCTTGCAGGAGGAACCTTTGTTCCGTGATAAACAGGGTGCAACTCCTGAAACACATTTTTGTTCGATAACACTGTTAAACGCTGTAATGGAAGTTTTGGAGATATTTGCACACTTTTATGAATTTCGTGGAAATTGAAACCTTTGACAGTACTTCGGTGAGGAGTTCATAGTTTACTATTCCAATTTTTGCTATGCACCGTGTAATAATCCTGCTTATATTGATTA